ATGTATTTATGGTTAAAAGTTAGACGCCTATTTTTGGCTTTAACGTTATTTACAGCAGGTTCCCCGAGTAATGGTTTGACAGATTGAAAGCATACCACAACCACCACCCTCCGAACTATCCCCAGCCATCTTTTATGTCTTTGATTAAATCAACTATTTCAATGGATGTTTTCCTCATCATATCGACAGTATTTCTGGTGTTTATTTTACTTCTTCGCAGAGTAAAAAAGTTCAATCGACCGGTTACGACCTTAGTTTTACATTTGACGAATTCTTGTCATGAGATTGTTCTGTCACAATTTTATTTCTGAACCCGTTACCTCACGTTGTCAGCTGCAAATTTTTGACTAACTTTCGTATTCAACGAGTTTTCATTACATATTATTTACTGTTCGATAGCCCCAATTCAAACCCCATCTATATATATATATGTCTGGAACAAGTGTTATCAATTGGTGAAAAGCGTTTCAATTTAAACAATTCCTTCCAACTATAGCAAGTTTTTTTTATGGTTTTACAACATTATGGCATTACAACCGTGCCCTTAAATCAGACGGCAGACCCCGGTTATCCTATTAGCAATAGAAAGCTTTTGTTCTCCGCCAAATGCCAGATATAACGGTCGCAGCAAAGTGTATTTGTGTCGATGACGAATTCAACCGTTGTCTTATAATGGTTGACTGTCCACGGTCCACAAATGCATTGTGCAGAAGACGAAATCAGCACGTAATCTTGATAATGGAGTTCAACAAACTTTTAACGACCAGTCATTTTTCAGTGTTAGAACACTTGTCATTTGGTACATTGACCATTTGAGTCTACACAATGGTTTAGAATTGGAAAAGCGATAGTTTTCGATAAATACTCCATGTTTTAAAGTTATAGTAATATTTTGTTAAATGTTTTAACAGTAGAGATCATCGTGCTCTTCCCTCCTATATAATTACCAAGTCACAAAGTGAATGTTCAGTCATATATTAATATTCATTCTTACGACAATATTGTATAACTTTTCTATAGAGACAATACCTGTATTCGGAATTAATGTCTCATACATTACGGATAGATGGAAGTTATTTATATTACATAATTCTACTGTGGATTCTCTTCAATGTTACTTTTTAGCAAATGTTCTTATCCGTGTTCTAATGTATACTTTCAGTCCATCCCATATTTATCTATGTTGTTCGTTCTTGTTGTTTTAAACTGCAAAGCATTTACTGAATGTTGTGAGTAACTTGCACCTATTTAACCTATTACAGGTATTACAGATGTCGTCCATGGTTAAAATAACATTTGATTCCTATTTATTGATGCCATGTTACATAGGTATCAGAGAATATTCATGCAACATAATGGACTCAAATTGTTTTCGGCACGCAGTCGGCAGTCAAGAATGCTGTAATTGTCTACTGTGATCTGTACACAGGTTGCCATTTATTTGAGCGTCATGTTTTAACATGTATTGCTGTCGTATCTAATGTATATTATAATACTAATTATATTCGCCGTGGTTTAACACTCGTTTCAAGTGTTGTAGATTAATGGCCGGACCTCCATTCGGACGGGAGAACAGATTAGCTCCTCCCCCACTGTCGTCTGGTCCACGCCACATCGATTATCTGGCTCCACACTTGCTGTTACCGGCGAACGCTATCACACGGGTTGCGACGCTGAACACCGCCCATGAAGGCGCAGTATTGACGATAGACACTGCAAGACCTCTACGATGTCCCCCCCTCCAAGTTGTGAAAGCAACAGGGTACATCATCAGTGAAAATACAGAGCTCACTCTCGCAGTGTGCAGAACATTTCGTCTCCTCACTTTGATGACCAAGCCAAGAACTATGCTGTGTGATACACGGCCCTGTGTTCAGACATTAATTTTTGTTGTGGCCTCTCACAGAGTAAACAGCGTTCAGTGTACATCAAGTGACATTCAGAACATGACTTTTCCAGTAGACGTGTGCCAGTTGATTCGATGGGACCAGAGACTTATGAACTTTTGTGAATGGTGGTGCCATTTTTGGCAATATTGGAGACATTTTCACATTTAATGTTGATTTTAATTCATTGTTGTGTTTTCATCTCATAATATATGATGTATATGCTTTGTGGTTACCCGAAGTAACATAGGATCATTCTCCTATTCCTTGGCATGCTCGTTTTTTAAGGTCCAGTATCCTCGAGTTTTTCCGAATATATTCGAAAGTTTGAAATGGGTTATCATTTCCTCTCAGAAATTACCGATCCTGTTTTGCTTCGATGGTGTTCAATGTGTTTAACTTAAACAAATCGGACCTGTGCTCATGTTTAATGTATCCGAGCTGTGGGCAGCTCTTGTCCACAGGCGGAGGATGTTATAAGGTAAAAAATTCATCCCCAAAACCATGAGAGAATTATATCAGATTCGTATTTAGATTTGCAGTTGTTCATGAGTCATAACGGTTAGGCACGGTATGGAGACGGAAAGTTTCCATACAATGGCGTTTAGCCGTAGGCTATGGAAAGAGAGACAGAACACATTTGTTGTGAAAGACATAACAGATTAATCTTATATTGAAACAAACAAAAGGGATGAGTAACCGAATGATTTTTACCGGTACTTTTCCAATCGTAATATTCATGAGTGCAAGGTCGGATACAGGCTAACCGAATCAAAATGATTAGTTGAAACATGTGATCAAGATCAGGCCAGGCTCGAACCATATAAAAAGATAGGTTGGGCACTGAGTGAGTGGTGCGCGCTTTTGTAGTGACGGAAGCCAGTCCACGCCACTCAGTTGCCTCGTGTGGTACGAACCTGCCTTGTCTGATGTTGAAGTTGTAGAGATGGACTGAGACTGAGTAAAAAACTATGTGAGTATAAACTTGTGTTGCGTTTATCTTTGAATGTATGTGTGCCAGTACATGACTGTAATGTGGTTCATTAGGAGTCACGGCCGTCAGAACCCTCACTCCTTGACTTAGCGTCCTGCAACGGACCAAGCGAGTGGAGCGCCAGAGCTACCATCTCCCCGACAATGTGGAACGACCATAATTAATAGGTAACTGTGGTAGGGTTTACTAACACCCAATCGCCAGTTACGACAGTATCCGAAATAATAGTGACGAGAACCTTCATGTCATCTGAGACGATATGTTGCTTTCCAATGTTTATTTATTCATCCGTTCGATTTTGCAGCAAACGGACTATATCCCTTCTTCAGTTATCAGTCAGCTCCAAAGTTGTGCCAAATAAATGTTTATTAATAAAGCAACTGTTGTGTCAAATTGCTTGTTGTGTTGAGTTTGCACAAAATACACTATACGTATAAGCAGATCGCATGCTTTTTATTAAGTTTCCAAATGAATACAAATATGACAATAAAATAATTAGGATTATAAGACAAAATATAAAGACATACATTGACTTCGTTTTGAGTCCTGACGTTTTTTAGCACTGGCAGATGATTAAACTTCAAAATGTTTTCATTTGTTATAATAAAAATGAAGATGGAAATATTATCGAGTAAAAAGGTTTCATTTTTGTTGATCAATCTATACCTATACTATCAATTGCGCATGCGAGTGGCGCAGCAAAGGTCACGAACCAGTCGAAAATACTAGGATATCATCCGGGTACTCAGGGGAGAAAAACAATAACAAAAGCAACAACCAGTGCGCGGAAATTGCTATGAATGTGTTCATCATATAATTGCTTTAATCATGTTTTTACACGGTCGGCTTCCGTGTGGGGTGTGTTCACTTCCATCAACCACCAGCTTGTAATAACACGTCACATGAGATTAGCCATGTGCTAAAATAACACCCAAACTTCAAAGCGTACCCCTTGTCAATGTCCTGAGCCTTATAAAATTCCGAGTCGACACCTTCTCAAACTATTGTCATGTAAGTGGTAATAATTCCTGAGCATCAGAGAACAGATTGGCTTGCTTATTTTGAAATTTAATGCTTTTCATAAACTAGAATCTCATGAACTATTTGTCTCTGGAATCATCTGTGATATGAACTTGTGTAGTTATTTCTCTAGAAATTATTTAACGCGATCTAAAATGAATCATGCATTAAACATTTAGTCATCTTTTATTGTAAATGACCAAATTAATTAGTTACACTATGAAGTTTTTAAGAAGGAATTCATTTGGGTTGTTTTTGCCTCAGTCCGCCCACGTGTGGACAACATAACCAACTATCTATTAACAAGTTCAAGATATTTCTTGAATACACCAACTGCATAACACCGTCTCTGACCACAAACCCAAACGGGTTGTTCTCTATTCGCCTACATCCCAATTCGCCTACAGTCTTAAAACAACATTTCATGGTCTGTTGACTGTTGATTACGCAATGATAAACCACCCAAACGGTTCATCCCTTGTGACAGGTGTTAATTAGAGGGTACCAATTAGAGAATGTATTCTACTACAATAAGCCTATTATTCCCTGGCAAGGGTTCACTTTTATGACATGTAATAAACCCTGTCCAGTCAGTCAGTGGGTCCGGTAAACTTTTATTAAATCCATGATGTAACGTAGGTCTATGTAATTTGTATTTATGCAAACCGTGACAGGTCAAAAACATTTGCGCTTCTGTGGATAACAAGTAAACCATACACTTAAAACGGTATTTTGGAAAATGCTAGCCATACCAAGGCAAATATAACAGTCAATATCAATTTTTGACACTTAGAACAACAAGGACGCAGATGAGTAAAGTTATACCAGGGATAATCTACGTCTTATAGTCTCCCTGGTTATACTAATATATAGAATTGGTTCCTAGTTGATCGCATAGGAGGACGAATACACAGTCTATACACTCATGGGGATCCTTGGGGAAAGGGGAAACTGAAAGAAGTAGTGGTAAAATCTTTCCTAAATTTCCAAAAATTTCCAAGCCTTGGAAATACCATGTTTCCAATTTTGAATTTTTTTGGAAATATGATATTTCCAAATTGAAAATTTTTGGAAATCACCATTTTTTTCTTGTGTAGAGTCATGTGTTTGGTAACAAGTTAGATTGTTTGAACCATGTCCATGTTGACTATAGTGCCTTGGTACTGCCTTAAACGTGTTTTTATCCCTGCTACCCTCAATGTTGATTGGTATCTGAGTGTAGATATTGTTAAGTGGCATCTTATACTGTACGTGGGGCGGGAACACCTAGTATCATCACAATAGTTATTAACAGACATGCTCATTATATCGTCGGAATTGTACAATCACTTCTACTTTTATCAGATATATCTTCTAGATATGGAAAGGGTTTTGTTGCTTTATAGGACGGGTAACTTCACAGAAGGAAACCGTGAGTGCAGTGTTTATTAATAGAGTGCAAATTATATGGGTAATTACAAAATAACTACAAGAATGCTCTACGATAGTACAAACAGCGACACAACAAATGCCAAGGTTATGTGTTCAGATAACACAGTGTGATATGAAAACAGTAACAAACGTAACTACCATAGTCACACAATGGAAACGACACCTAAGGTGTCCAGAGAGATTACAAGAATACCTGAAAGGCAGAAGAAGCAATGAACCATTGTACACAGTAGCCTTTCTCTATGAAATAGAGGCAACTTTTCAGAGGTTCAAATATAATGAACTCAGGAAGGACATGCAGTTTTGCAGTTAACGTCTGTTAGGTTTGAAAGTTAAATTTCCATCCACCTGGGTACAAACTCACGATAAAATTATCTCCTATAGTACAAATAGCGACACAACAAATGCCAATGTTATGTTTCAGAAAACACAGTGTGATATATAAACAGTAACGAACGTAACTACCATAGTCATACAATGGAAATGACACCAAAGGCTTCCATTCCAGAGAGATTACAAGAATGGCTGAAAGGCAGCTGAAGCAATGAACCATTGTACACAATCGCCTTTCTCAACGAAAACGAGGCAACTTTTCAGAGGTTCAAATATAATGAACTCAGGAAGGACATGCAGTTTTGCAGTTAACGTCTGATAGGTTTGAAAGTTAAACTTCCATCCACCTCATACGTATTAATTTCATAGATGACCGTTAGGGAAACGCAATTATGTTGCAGACTATTTCTAATTTAAGATAAAGTAGACCGAAAGTGACATGTTGAGAAACAATTGGTAACAAAATGCATGTTCTTTGCAAAACATATTAGTTGTAAGATCACACGAGTTTTCAAAACAATGAAGTGTCAGAGATATTTCTGTACAATTACCCATTCATCTCTATTGTTAGGTGTTGATTCCCAAGTTGAAACGATAAGTTAACCAGAAATCAGTCTGTGAAAGAATTGGATGTGAAACTGCCAATCAACGAAGAAATGTAATATAACTGGAACTGTACTTTGAATGTCACTAAGGTTACAAATCTCTACAAAACACTTCAAAGGAAGTACAATGGCGGTACAAGATAAAGTGTCAGTACATATTTAGTGGCATTACAAATGCAGTGACAATCTAATAAAAGAAGCATTGAATACAGCAATAAAGACAGTTATGATGATATTCACCAATTCAATTTCTTCCAAATTCTTCTCAAATACGTTATGTTGGAAAGGCCTATGCGGTTTGATTCCTTCCCGTACCTTCCTGAACTATCAGTTTAATACAAATAACTATTACAAATAGAATGAATAAAGTTAAATGCATTGTTATATTGCCAAAGGTACATAAAGAAGGAAACAAAACACTCTTTGAATGCTATATCCGTTCTATACTGGCCAAAAATAGTTAGGGATATATGTACATTTTGAAATTGCGAATAATGATCTATATATTCCTTGACACACTGATGAAATATCAATCTTAAAAATACCAATGTCCCTACCTTATTTTGTCCAGTATACTTTTACATGTTTCACTATTGTTTTGGTCTCAAACACGGTTACCTACCCTAGATATTTGCAACCCTTTCGAAACAGGTGGTAGACCATTTAACGTCTCCCTTTCATTATCCTGACAAATTTTCCAACACCTTGATTACTGATTAGGTTTCGTGATAAATAGGACCGGACCGAAACTTAACAACACATCGTATGCCAAGACACATTCGTCAATCGTCAGAGACAAAATTTGAAATCCATACCTTTCCTATACAATTAACAATAAAACCCTATGCGCCCACAGACATTTAACGGAACGACTACATATAGTCCTGTGTCCGTGAAATGACTATATGTTACGTTTTGTTGCCTAGTTTCTCATATCGAGTCGTGCAGTTGTTTAAAAGTATAAACACATTCAACCTTAGCGTTAGTAACACAGTCACTGTCCCGTATAAGACAAGAAAACATCTCCGTTGGCCTTGGTCATCAAAGTTATGAAGGCCACCTGTCGCTCTCGAGGAGTTCCACTATGACATCCACTCAATCATACTAACAGAGACGTCGCCCCAAAATCCAAAAAGGTCAGGCTTTGCTCCAGCGTCTCTCTCCGTCAAGTTGTGAATGATGGCACTATCGATTACTAACTGAAATAAACCGACCATTACCACACTAATAATCACAAATTGTCACACACTGGAATATCAAATGAAACTGTATTCCATATTGTTTACTTTCAATGGTATAAATACCCACCGGCTTGCAAATTGTATAAATCCTCTTGGGCTTTAAGTTTCCATTCAACTGCTATTTGAACCATGTATATATCCTTAATGTTTGTCATTTACATGCTATACATACCCCGTATACTCCATCTTGGAGGGTTATTTGAATCTCCATTGCTTTTCCAACAGCCATTGCTAGATCTAAACGCACCTCTGTCCCCCAAACATCATCTACCTTAGTGTTGATACGGACAAGGTCACTGATCCCATTGTAGCCTACGCAAAACTCAGAGTCGAAAAATGAGTCAGTTTGTTTCTGTATCTTGAAACCCCATCTGCAAGAGAATGATAAAAGAAATGAAACAGTTCATATTTGTACACTAGTTCAACAACTTTCGTTAATGATCGAACAAGAAATTGTTCAGCAATGTCCATAAAAGTAAATGTTCATCTATTTATGTTATCCTTACGTTTCGGTTTTGGTCAGATATGCAGACCACGGTTGAAATATAACTAAATGTGTCAATTATTTTGATAACTTTATACAAAGTGTCAGTATTTGTCAGTGTCAGTATCTTTACCTTGTAGCTGCTGTCGCTGTCCCATTCATTATCAACTGGAACTTGCTGGATGGACCACACGGAAATGAATAAAGGACCCATATCTGCAACATACATACCAACACATTTCATAATTCGCTGTTTCACAAGTATAGATGTGATTTTGTTGTGTAGGATTGATTGTGGGAGACTAATCCTAATTTATTTTGATATATATTCATATTTTATGTTTAGTCAAAAAAAAAAAAAGGCACCTAGATTGGCCAACGATGAGTTACATGTTGCTGGGTACCAGTCTAACAAGGAATCCGCACTAGGAGGCCGCAGGGTTGGCGGTATGTAAGGTCTGTGTTTATGTATACCACGCCTGTGCAAGATCCTAAAATACTCAGACGCAAATAATATCTCACCGGATTGTGCCACCTGTACTGTCCACAAAGACCTTCTAAACTCTCCCAGGCTCCAGATGACTGACAGGTGCTGGTGACATTGTTGTAGCAGGCTCTGTAGTCATGGTCACAGGAGTAGGTCGCCATAGCTCCCTGGTAGTGACCATCATACGTTGTGTTGGCGTCTCTTACATCCGGGGGATGACCACACCCCTGGAACTCTTCAAACAAAAAATCACAAACCCTAAAAATTTGAATGTACGTTAATACGTCAACAGTTGTGGTTTTGGAAATACAGTCTCTCATCATGCGTGTCTTGCCACTGATAGGTGGACTAGAACTTAAAGTTGCAAAACACCGAAACAGTCCTGAAGGGAATGATTTTCCAGTAGCATTCAGAAGTTTTGATAAATCCAGGAATGTTTACATGGGCGAAGAACAGCACAAGGAGATGTTCACACTGAACCTTTTGATTCGCTAATACATTGCAAATTTACCATTCAAATCATGATTCATGCATCTGTGTGTTGCCCTTGCAACTGCTTGTCTGGAAATGTCGAGTCATTGTACATAATGTAACATAATGTCAGTTTATACATCAGGAACGTGATATAGCAACTAGTCCAAGTCATGTACCGTATCGCCAAATGAAACTATGTAAAACTATCCTCCTGAATGCAACTGCTAAAAGTAGTCGAGGCATTGGAAGAACATTGGTTACCTGGAACACACCTTGCAAGACCAAGTCGAGTTACTTCACAGCGGGTGTTGGTTTCACACACCACTTGAGCGCATCGTCCAGAGAGAGACTAGGAAGAAAACAGTCCATACAAAATGTATCGAAAGTTGTTCAAAAAACCAAACTAATGTGTTGTTTTCCGATGTGCATAAATCAAAGGACAGATTGACAGATCTCTAAGCTCAACCTTTAGACATCAGAAGATGATGTTCGTCTAAACTTTAATTCCGCCTTTAACAGCAATTGTCAGCTACACATGAAAACTTGACAAAAGGGTGACACCAGGCATCCACGGACACCATGTGCATAATGAGAGAGACCACTCGACGTGACGTCTTTCAACAAGCATGGGCTGCTGACGATCAATTCTATCGCGTTCACGTAGCCTTGCCGACAGAGCAAACATGATTCCAGAAAAATCATAGTTTGGCTTTCCTTTCTTAATGGAAAGGAATAATTCAGAAAATAAACAATGTTGCTTATTACACAAATCATGGAAACAGTATTCGATATAAAATGAAGCTAGTCTGAGATTCCTTGATGATGTTTACACGTTCCTAACTTTGGTATATACAAACAAGGTAACTGTTGGTTTAAACTCATGTAACAGTCACGGAAAAACGTCAGTTTTCCACAATACTAGTATCCCATAACATTTCTATTTCAGGCATACATTTACGAGATAATGCTTCCATGTTTGAAATACACTTAACAAACCCTTTCCACATCCATAAACAATCTCTGCTAAAAGCAAACTCGATTGTACAATTCCGGCTATATCATAAGCATGTGTTTAAGAATCACTGTCAAATAGTGATGACGCCATGTGCCCCCGGCATAAACAAAAGCAAAGACTAGTCATGTTTTACAGGAAATGTAAAATACAGGAGTGTATGGTATTAGTCAACATTAGGATTTGCAACAGACCAAAAAATTGTCACAGATGGAGATTCCTGCACGTGTCTTCCATTTGACATTTCAGACTTGTTTGGAAACTTAACTGAGGCCTAAACAGAAAAACAGCGTGTTCGACTGTAACTCAAAAGTTGTGAAACGGAAACATGAAAGGCTGGATCTGTTGAAATATTATTCGACATAAAGCGAAAGTCATCCCTATTGTCATACAGCCTTGGGGAAAGATTTGTGTCTGTGAATGTTAATGCATAGATCCAAATAAGAAAAACATGCGGCGTTCTCACTTGCCTCTTATGTTTCAAGATCGGGTCGGTAAATCATTGGAAGGGAATTGGCTCACTGGTCACCTTACAGTAGTACTGTTATTGCGGAGTACCCAGAATTATCCTGTGAATAATGAGAGTTCTTTGCATATACACTTGAGCTTGACCATTTAGCTGCTAGGTAATATAATTATCAATGACAGTATTTACATTATGAATGCTGATGCGTCAATTCTATTTTATGCTGCCCTTCAAACTGCAATTCTGTACTTTCATTGTTTTTCCTTTGCAGTAATTTGTATTGTTTGGTACACGTAGTGTATTTTATTATGTAATTGTTCATTGTATACCATCCATTGTTCTGTTACTTGTTATACACAGTATTTGAACAACGGTACCCCTCAAGGCAAGAATTGAAGGATGTCAATTTCTTAGTTTTGAGAACCACGACGTTTGAGGTTATATTCTTAGTCTTTCATCAGGTGAATGTTGTATGCTAGTTTCACACCATATTCTTCTACGTTCGCAGTTACTTGTATTACTTGTATGCCCAGCGTGGGAGAATCGAGAACAGCCAATCAAATGGTCTTGTGGAATGGCTTATCTGGCGGATTTGGTACACAAAGTACATATAGGCCCATTTCTCTTCACACATGCTGGATATGGGAGAGATCTGATGAATTTGAAGGCCAAGGCAGCGTTTGGACATTGTGAGTTGCCACTGCTACGAGAATCTGGTCTCTGTAGCCCAAAACTGTCAAATAGCCCTGAACAAGAACTAAGTTTGTTCTCTGACGTGCACTCACCACTCCTACCCCCAAAGTATCACTGAACCACCCCCACAGCGATTCCAATCCTAGACAGACTTGAGCATAACTCATCTGTGAAAACATCAGTCCTCCACCACAATCGAGGTTCTGAAATTGTCTGAGCATTGGCCGCTGCAGTCTGAAACATCTGCCGGAGATCGATCACCCGTATCTATGAGTCCTGTCTTGGCGGTTTAAAATTAATGGAGTTTTGGTGGCAAGGGAAATGTGCAGCCACCCGACATTGAGACATTCCTCCATGGACCACCCCACTGACCACCCAAAAAAACTCATGTACAGTCGTGAATCTTCGGTTAATGTGCAGTTATTTGGCCGTTTAAAATTTATAACGATCAAACATTTAAGCTTCCCAAATCGACAAGAGTTCTACCAATACATGTTCTTCATGCAGTTTATCAAAATGCACATGCTGTGATAAAAAATATCATAAGGTTTGTGTAAATCATTTGATCTGATATTGAAGAAATATTTACCGCTTTCCGGAAACGAACACTACCGCCATTTCCACATCTAAAATCGAAAACTATTTAAATCCACCAGTAAGTCACTAGACCTATATATGGGCCAAGTTTGGTTGAGATTACTGTACAGTGTCCATGATCTACTCGAGAAACGACCTCTTGGCACAAACTGCCGCAGCTGTGACACTCGCGGTATGTAAATAATTCAAGGTGTCACTCGTATGCTTTATTTACCAATAAATACAAACTTCAGCCATTGCCCTCTTTATCCTCACAAACTCTCGGCGTCACTGTTATAGACAATGAAATACTTTCAGTGCAGATAGACACAACCCAAAAGCTGTTTTCAACTCTACTATAGTTTTCCTTCGTGTTATTTCTATATTTGACGTGTTCATTGTAATTGACCTTGTGAATTTCAGAAGATTCTACTGGTACCTCTACACAAGTGGAATTTAGAACACTTGACGTTTGCATTTGACATTTTATCAAACGACTGATTTAAAAATAACTGGAACACTCCCTCTACTAAGATAGAAGACATTTAGAAGCAACTGTGGTAGCATTGTTTGCAGTATGGCAACAATATAACCCCTAAACAAGATGGCTTAAAATGAAAGAAGAAACATCTACTGGGAACACTAACCTTTGGCCAGTGTTGTATATCACTGAAGAGGAATCCTGTTCTCTCAACAACGTTAGCAGTATCACTACTGTTACTGTTCAGTAGGCAGGTGCGCGTTTTCTTGTCATATCCAAAGGACAGACATGCTGAGGACATCAGACATTCTGATGCACAGGTGTAGAGAGACTGACTCCCGAACTTTCTGAACACCTGGTGTTCCATGTACTTGTCACGCTGAACTACAGAATCCACATCCAAACAGGTGTCACCACTGACTAACTTCATGATTCCAAAAATTAGGAAAACTAATTCGCTATGGTTAGACGACATTTGCGTCACCTTGATCTCCAACTGCCAAGTTGTGACTAACATTCCTTCCTCGTATTGAGTTATGTTAACATTGCAACTTCAACTGCATGGTAACCATGTTCATTTTAATGTTTTGATTTAAAAGCTAGGAAACATCAATAGAAGAAGAGGCATGTGTGATGTGTTTTCCAGCAAGATAATCACTTTTTACGACGTATGAAGATTTGAGTATGTGGTTGAATTCAGCTCACATTCAAAGATGCTCATAAGTATGTGGACTTGAGAACGCACAGCAATAAAATGTGCAATAAAATGTGAGGTCTTTGCGTTTAATTGTCTACAAATGAAAAAGCTAAATATCTGGAGTATGTTGTTCCACTGCCACTGTGTTTTATTTTATAAATTTTCTTTTTTCTTTTGGGGGTGGGTGGGGTGTAAACTTGTTTCACAATTTTAGATAATCAGCAATTCCATTTGACTCAAGGAAAGGTTTGTCATAGGCATCTTCAGTTGGTGGCAAGTTGATGGAAAAAGAGTCTCAACTGTCATTTTCAACAGCAATAAAAGCGCTAATGCTGCCATGCGACGAAGCCTGTAAACAAACTAGACAACGAAGTAATCGATAGTATTGTTGAGTTTGATTGATGTGCATTCATCAGTTATGACTGTATACAGATATACAGAGCTTCTGATACTTATAAGTAAATAAAAACGCTTGGGAAAATACTCGTTTTACAACACCAAAGGCGTCTCATAGTTTTGTGATGTCATCTATTATTCTCAATAACATATGGGTGGCCAGTTAGGATGAAATCTAGAATCCTGTCATGACAGAGAACAGGGGCGTAAGATATATTCTGAAGAGGTTAACTTCACGTATTGAAGGGACACTAGGATCTGGTCATTTGGACACATCTGTTTCAGATTGTAAAAAGTACATGTAAAAATTTATAAGGCAAAAACACCATGACGAAACCTAGTTCTGAACAGATATAATTTTCTTGGAATACACAGATTTCACCAAGGTATTACAAACTCTGATGGTTTACGTAAGTGACCTGCAGAGCCTGTCAATTGACATACACGAATGTCAATAGCCATTGACAAGTCATGATGTGGGTCAAGGCCACCTTCGAGGGGCGTAACCTGATAACAAATTTGTAACCACCCAACTATATAGATAGAGGCTATGACGCAAGTTAGGTTTGTAATGGTAAATATTAGTATTGTGTAAGTTTAAGGTCGCAGAAAAGTTCAGTCGAGAAAGTATGTTTACAATTTTTATTTGAATGTCTTCCTTAAAAATTTGTTTAAGTCAGATCTAACTGATGTAGTGGTTATAATAATAATAATAATGATGATCCGGTAATCAAACCAACCATACTGGAAATGGAACTTGCCCTAGGGCAGGGCACAGAACCCGACCAAGAATATCTTCCACACTACTTGAGTGTGCGAAAGCGGCAGGAAATCCCCACTTAAATGGCAAGTTTGCTTTAACTGTACTAGGGCAATGCCATACCAATGTATGCTTACCTGAAGGAGCAAAATCTCCGAGATCAGTTCCGGCGCCTAAAGATGCACATGCGCCGTGAGACAGTTGAACCCACAACCTTTGCATGAGCAGCATGTTAAAATGGCAGCAGACCCAAAACTTCAAATGGATGTCCGCGTTAACCTCTCTCCTCTTCCAGGTGCAAACTCTTCTGCTATAATGCCAATTGGCCCTGAAATTTCTGAACCTCATTCTTCTTCTTCTTCATTTGCAGACCTTGCTGAAAACCCTGTTTATATTTTCTTTCATTCTATTTATGATGAAATATCTGATTTACCTTTGGATAAACGGAGGCCAAACAGATGAATCTTTTCCCAAACATGAAATTGATTTATTAAATGACATTATTTCTATGCAACATTCTGCGGACTGTACATAACATGAAGTAAATTGTTGTGGCTATGCTGCCGCTCGAACTTCAAACAGTTTCCAAAGAAAATGCCTCTAATTCCAACCTTAAAAAAACAAAAGAAAAGCCGGTTTCAAGTAAAACTAACCGACACTAGATAATACATTTACTGGATTGAGCTACTGTAACCTGGAGGCACCATTGGTCATGATGGCAGGGCTTGGTGCTTCTACTACCGTCTTCGCCATGTCTGTGGCTTTGACTCTGTGGTCCATCCATGGTACGTCCCTGAAAATGTCCAGGGCGTCATGGAAAATGATGCTTTCAAGCTTCTTTGCAATAGGCCCATATACAGCCTCAAAAGAATTCCAGCCAACAAACCTGATCTTGTCCTTTTTTATAAAGCCAATGAATTTTTTATATCATTGAATTTTCTGTCCCTTTTGACTGCAACGTGATTGGCAAGATACAGGAAAAGCATGGTAAGTATGCGGACCTCGACTTTGAGATGTCTCGCTTGCATCCCAAGTACACTGTCGTCAGACTCCCCATTGTTCTCGGTGCCCTTGGTCTGGTACCTTCTGATCTCTTGGTGCAGATCCGGTGCAGATCAGGAGAGTGCCCGGGTTCTTCACCGGGAGCACAGCCCTTCTGACACTCTGGATAATGCAGAAGGCTGCAGTGTTGAGGAGTCTACATATTCTCCGGAAAGTCTAGGTGCAGATCAGGAGAGTGCCCGGGTTCTCCACCGGGAGCACAGCCCTTCTGATACTCTGGGTAATGCAGAAGGCTGCAGTGTTGAGGAGTCTACATATTCTCCGGAGAGTCTTGGTGCAGATCAGGAGAGTGTCCGGGTTCTCCACCGGGAGCACAGCCCTTCTGACGCTCTGGATAATGCAGAAGGCTGCAGTGTTGAGGAGTCTACATATTCTCCGGAAAGTCTAGGTGCAGATCAGGAGAGTGCCCGGGTTCTCAACCGGGAGCACAGCCCTTCTGACACTCTGGGTAATGCAGAAGGCTGCAGTGTTGAGGAGTCTACATATTCTCAGGAAGGTCTTGGTGCAGATCAGGAGAGTGCCCGGGTTCTCCACTGGGAGCACAGCCCTTCTGACTCTCTGGATAATGCAGAAGGCTGCAGTGTTGAGAAGTCTGCATGTTCTCCGGAAAGTTCTTGGTGGGTTCGACTAGGCAGTGTTTCCTGGGAGAAGTCCCATTCGTTGTCTGGGCTGCGTGTAGAGGGGGCAAAGGCCCTGAGCTGATGATGAGCTTTTCCAGCCTGACTGTGCCAGGATCACCCAAACCGTCTCTGTTGCATTTTTCATCTTAATCTGTAAAACATAATAATAATACATGCATTTATAAAGCAATTCACATTTATGATGTGCTCTGTCATTTGAGTGCTTACGTATAACAATATTATATCAGTATTATATGTAGGTCACAGTGACCCACTTTAAGGAAGTAGTGTTCACTGTACGTTAAATTCCGCCAAGTGACATCATATTTGGTTTACATGCTGGAAATCTTTGAATTACTCTTATAATACTGATTCTGGTGCTCGAATCACGTTCCAGGAAAATATAATTCAAATGTACAAAGTAATGGATGGAATTTGAAACATGTTATCCCAGTGTTGGAATACGGAACTGGAACACTGATGATTGAACTCCAGTTACGGTCAAGGTCACAACACTGTTAATCTATTAAGGTACGAAAGGGACATGGGACCTAACATGTTTGATATCGTGGGTTTGTTAGCGAAGGGGTAGTGTAGTGTAGTGCAAGGTTGACGCAAGGCGCAAGGTGTGTGCAGCTACGCGCAGAATCAATTTCATCGTCATGCATTGCACGTGCACTAGCCTATATCTGCTCTACCTTTCACAAACCAAATGGGTTTGCTCATTGCCGTGCACCTCTTACTTCTCGTAAACGCGTTCTCTGCGCCGGTCCAACTAATCCTTGTTTGCCAGTAGAGTGAGTGAGTGAGTGAGGTAATATTTAACGTCACATCGGCAATATTTCAGCCATATCGTGACTTTTGCCAGTAGAGACTCAGGATGGGTCAGGTTTGCTGACTTGAGACGTTTCAGGTTTGGTGATATGGGACAGGTCCGGTTTGGTGACGTAGAACAGGTCAGCTCAGGTGACGTAGGACATCCACGTTTTGTGACGTAGAAATATCAGGTTCAGAGACTCGGGACTGGTCAGGTTTTCAGATTTGGTTATGTGGGACAGGGGGTAACGTGGGGCGTGTCAGATTTGGTGACTCGGGACAGGACAGGCTTGGTGACGTAGTACAGGTCAGGACGGAAGACGGATAATAGCATTATATCGCAATGAGTTGACTCTTACATCACTCAGATTATAATAGTAATTTGGCTAAACAGTGAATTTGAATGTTGAAAACATTTTACCAGGTAATTGAGAGAGAGTGTGTGTGTGTGCGTGCGTGCGTGCGTGCGTGCGTGCGTGCGTGCGTTCGTGCGTGTGTGTTTTCGTTGCCTTCATCTAATAAAGATTGCAGCTTTACCTGACATCCTTTCTTTTGTGTTTGAAGGCGTGGAGGTCCCGGATCTAATTTCCAGAAAATGATTTTAGGTCATAAACTCTCACGGTGAAGGCTGTTTCAGTTCGAGCAAAACAATGGCGAATACACAGATATCATTTCAATAATTGGTTTAAAGAGTGTCTTGCCAAACGCCACATAAATGAAAATGTTCCTCGTGCAGAGCACATGATGTTGTTTTTTAATAGGGAATGCTTGTATATTTGCAAATAATGGGCAGTACTTATAAGAATGGAAAATTTATGTTAAATACATAGGGGGACTGAGTGGTGGGTGATTTTAGTTTTACGCCACGTTTAGCAATATTCCAGCAATATCAAGGCGGGGGACATCAGAAATAGGCTTCACACAATTTACACATGTGGAGAATCGAACCCGGGTCTTCGGCTTGACGAGAAAACGCTTTAACCACTAGGCTACCACCGCCGCTGTATGTTTTGAAGGATATGCACAATATAATATGCCCATTAAAAGCGGCGTTAAACTAAACTCATTCTCTGTATGTTTTGAAGCGCTGATTGACAGAATTTCAACTTAGATTTGTATACAGGTTCCAGAGTAATCAATAATTCGCTCAAGAACCTTATGGGTTGGGAGGAAATTCACGTTGTGTTGTCGTATATCGTCGGCGTAGATCGTTGTATATTGTCAACGAAGAGGACCTTTGAAGCAGAAATCGGTATGTTTAGCTTCGCACCACTTGTGAACGCTATTGACCTCGTAACTTTAGTTTCGTAAAGAGTATGTACACGATCGATTCCATTTGTCATGAGTTGAAACCTGAAACGCGATGTTTGTTTTTTAAATCAATTCTTTTCTTTTGACCATTTGACTTGTTCTTTTGGCTGATGGAATGTCACGAAGGTGCTTATGTTACATCGCTGGGAATATGTTACTTTTACACTTCTATACTAAACTAAACATTCCCAGCCAGATACCAAAGATTGACTGTAGCTACCATCTTGGGCAAACGGGGTAATGTCGTTTACTATTAATTTGTATTTTTCGTGATTACGGAAAAGGGTTTTGTAGCATTTATTTTGGGATCGGGATCGGGAGTGAGGGGCAGGAAGATGTCTTATGTTCTGCTGTGTTATGAAGAACGGCGACAGGAACATCCCGTCCGAACTACTTCCTGTAGAACCGATGTGGCCTCCGCCTGGATGTTTGAGAGATCTGCTTGGGTCGTTTGCATACATTTGAAGGAATCGATTCGGAACAGGAGGCACATCGGGAAGGCACGCCCTCCTATTTATATAGTATCACAGAACAAACCTGTGGCAATGGTGTTGGATTTTAAAAGGGAATGCACGTGTATTTGCACATCATGGGTAGTATTCGCAAGAATGCAGTTATTATGTTAAGAGATAAATACAGCGAGTGAGGTGAGGTGAGGTGAAATTGGGTTTTACGTCGTGCTTGAGAATATTTCGCTCATATGACGCCATGCATGCGTGTGTATGTGTGGCTGCTTGTACTAGCCCAGATTTTAGCTGGTTTTAAAGTGCTAGCTCACTGAGATACCATGCCGCAGTGAAGCATGAATACCCCACTCAGACACATTATACTGACTCCGAGCCGACCAGTCCTTGTTGTACCCATTAATGCCGAACGCCAGGCAGGGACCAACAAGTACCATATTTTAACGTCTTTTGGTATGACGCGGTCGGGGATTACAGGGAGTGAGAGGTGAGTTTAGTTATATGCCGCTTTTAGCAATATTGCAGCAATATCACGGTGACGGACACGAGAAATGTGCTTCATACATTGTTCCATGTGTGGAATCGAACCTGGGTCTTTGACGTGACGAGCGAACGCTTTAACCACTGGGCTACCCCACCACCCCTTTGAAATCTTTTACAAAAGAGCATCCTCCCAGTGTCTCGTACTGAGCCTTTTGGGTGCTTTGTACATATTTGTCTATGGTACATGTACATAGTTCTGAAAGCCTCAATGTGTCCTTGACAGATGTGATCTTGATGAAACAACTTTTGAGCAACAGGGAGTGACTGAGTCACCGCGGGGACACCAGAAATGGGCTTCACACATTGTACCCCTGTGGGGAATCGAACCCGGGTGTTCAGCGTGACGAGCGAACTTAATTAAACATGAGCGAAGGCAACGAACACACTTTCAATTAACCAGTTAAACGGTTTCAACATTCAAATTCATACTTCATTGTTTAGCCAAATTTTTATTATTATCCGAGTGCAAGCAAACGTTTTAACCACTGGGCTACCCCCACCGCCCCTTTGAGCAACAATGTTGATGACCCTTTGAAATCTTTCTCAAAAGAGCATCCTCGCTTGTACCTCAAAAGAAGATGGAAGGGAGCTGCTAACTATTGCTGGCATAGCAGAAAGCATTACTTTTGTAAGTCTTATGTATAGCACTTCGTCACTCCGGCTTTGAATCTTTACCCACAGACCTAAATATCATACAGATAAGGCCTTTAACTGTCCTCTTAATTCTAGCTCAGGTTTGTGTATTGGTGGAAGAAAATTGTCTGACCATTATTGAAAGATATCAGATCATCGATATACTTGACCAACTTCTTTTCCAGATAGGGGCGGTGGGGTAGTCTAGTGGTTAAAGCGTTGGCTCGTCACGCCGAAGACCTGGGTTCGAATCCCCACATGGGTACAATGAGTGAAGCCCATTTCTGGTGTCCCCCACCATTATATTGCCAGAATATTGCTTAAAAACAGGGTAAAACCAAACTCAGTCAGTCTTTTCCAAATTCGGGTGTTTTGATTTTACCAATCAGAGCGAAAACTTAGCCATAAGCATAGAGAAACAGATCTTCCAGAAGGGGAACACATATAATTGGGATGCAAACTGCATCTTGAAATGTCTTATGGTAGTAATGGGGCAGTGGAGATACACATTGGAACTGACACACCTCCATATTGGAACTGACACACCTCTGTTCATAAGGCCAATTTGGACAAAGACAAGTGCAGATATTTACATGATTTTATTCAACAATGAATACAATATCAACCAATTGCATATAATACTGAAACTGAAAGTACTACGTATCTGCACAATAATGAACTGAAGGTTTGATGTGTATAATGTGCAAGCTGTTGACTATCGTCTCAATGACTAGTACCAATTAAATTCTCTGTTTTGCCTTGGCAGCTGAACAAAGATGAATGAAAACAGGTTTATAAATTACACACAGCAATACATTATGGCACAAGCTGGTCAAACAAGAGCACAGGTTAAAAAATGGGAATCATGGACAAGAACAAAATGGTGAAATTCTGGCATTTGGTAATCATTTAGAAAATAATAGTATGAAAAAAGCAGTATCTGTTGATTTGAAGAATTATTTGACATCTGAATTTAGTCATCAAGCTATGGATTCATCCAGATTGCCTTGTCACGCTTGTACACATTTCTATCTGAATACCAAGAAGCTGACTAGAATTAATCCATTAATTTCGATATCTGTATAAACAACCATCTGTCAATAATTGGCAGGGTTGTATGCACAACATGTCTTCGTCCCCCAAGAATTCATTCATTTGAGGTGAAATGGGTTTAAACAATGTGGTTGCACTTTTGTAGAGTATGAGTGCCGGGTAATGTAAGACATAGCATGCTCTAAGCTGACTAGTCCATGCCTTGTGAGTGAGTGAGTTTAGTTTTACAACGCACTCAGCAATATTTTAGTTATATGGTGGCGGTCAAATAATTGACCCGACAATACAGTGATCAACTGCATGAGCATTGATCTACACAATTGGGATATGATGACATGTGAACCAAGTCAGCAAGCCTGACCACCCCTTAGTCGCCTCTTACGACAAGCATGGGTTACTGAAGATCGATTTTAACCCATGCTTTGTGATCTTATTGTCAAGTCACATCAGGCAGGGTAACAATATATACCATCTTTAAACGTCTTTTGGTATGATATGGCCAAGGATGGAACCATCAACACTCAGTTCAGAGGCCCTAGACCACAGCCACCAAATGAATACATTCAGAGAATAGGAGTGTTATTTTAAACCAATGTATCCAGCAAATGCCTGATTTCAGCAAGAAGGAAACTTCGGCTGTTTTAACCATTGTTGTATTCAGGACTGATGCTGGTTTTACATTGCTCTCGAACTGAGATTCCATGTGACAGTTTGACAGGGATACCCCACTCAGACTGTATACTGAGTCCACACTGACCAGTCCTTCTTTTCCAAACGTTAAGTGATTTGTCTTTGTCTATCTGTTGTTTAACACCGCACTCAGCAGTATTCCAGCTATATGGCCTCAGTATTTATAATCGGACCAGACAATCCCATGGTCAACATATGAACATTAATCAACGCAGTCGGGATACGATGACATGTGTCAACCAAGTCTGTGAGCCTGACCACTCGATCAAGTTAGTCAGCTCTTACGATAAGCATGGGTTGCTGAAGACCAATTCTTAATTCCTAACCAATTAACAACAAGTAGCATCATTTAAAGAATTTTGGTATCACGTGACCAGGAATCAACCAATCCAACGAGATCCTAAATCTATTGGAATACAGAGGTATTTAGTCCAAAAATGGACATACATCACCACAACACTTCACATCAGCTCAATGTATTCACAGGGGAATTAAGAACATAGTGTATAAATACCCATAAAGTATTGACATAGCAAACCCACTTTCAGTGTGAAATCTGGGAGTATTCCCCCTTAAAGTTTAGCAGTGTACATTATGGGTGAAGCAGGATTTGAGGTTCAGCTGCCCAAACCTATCCCTCCTGAATCAGACCCATGAAGATCCCGGTTAGAATGGATCTTCATGATCAGCAACCCATGCTTGTCGTAAGAGGCAACTAACAGGATCGAGAGGTCAGGCTCACTGACTTGGTCAAAACATTTCATCATATCCCAACTGCGTAGATCGATGCTCGTGCTGCTGATCACTGGATAGTCTGGTCCAGGCCCGATTATTTACAGACCACCACCATGTAGCTGGAATATTGCTGATGGCGGCATAAACTAAACTCATTCACTCACTCACCCTCCTGAACCGACATGACTGTATAATGACTAAAATGACATATCCTCTACATGACTTACCATCTGAAGACTTACAACACCATACATAACATGTCATGTCAAAGCAATACTGGATCTAAAGTCAACATGGCGCAGATACAGGTCACAACCTACACACCACAACCCATTAATTGGAGAATCTTGACTAACATTATATGTGAGGAGAAGACACATATGCATAATTATACTAAGGTACCTTCTTTCCCATCTGTATCAGTATGTGTCTATTAGAGATACAGACTCATGTATAATTATGGGTCGAAATTTGAAGACATCAACAGGTATGTCATGTCTATATTTTCTGAAAATTCTGTACCAGAACATGTTTTTGCAGAAGAGTCTATAAAACTGTCTGTACAATACATATACATGCAAAATGTATACTGAGTATTCTACAGCATAAATAATTGTAAAACAGTTCAGACATATATATGTATAGATGGACTTAAGACAATCAAAGTTATTATATATCCTCTCAAGATTAACAAGCCAATATGGGCCTTATCATCTCAAGGCTAACAAGGCTGTATGGGACTTTTCATCTCATGGCTAACAAGGTTATACCACACTTATCATTTCATGGCTAACAAGACTACATAGAACTTATCATCTCAAGACTTACAAAGCTATGTAGGACTTATCTCATGGCTAACAAGGTTATACCAGACTTATCATCTCAGAGACTAACAAGGCTATATAGGACTTATTATCTCATGGCTAACAAGGTTATATCAACACTTATCATCTCAGAGACTAACAAGGCTATATAGGACTTATTATCTCATGGCTAACAAGGTAATAACAGACTTAACATATCATGGCTAACAAGGTTATACCAGACTTATCATCTCAGAGACTAATAAGGCTATATAGGACTTATTATCTCAAGACTAACAAGGTTTTATCAGACTTATCTCATCGCTAACAAGGTTATATCAGACTTATCATCTCAGAGACTAACAAGGCTATATAGGACTTATTATCTCATGGCTAACACTGTTTTATCAGACTTATCATCTCATGGCTAACAAGGTTATACCAGACTTATCATCTCATGGCTAACAAGCCAATATAGGACTTGTCATCTCAAGACTAACAAGGCTAGGATTTATCTAACAAGGTTATACCAGACTTATCATCTCAGAGACTAACAAGTATGTGTTGATAAGCAGCTCTCCCTGTTTTCACTTGTTAGATAACATCATTAAGACTTCATAAACAGCCTTACTTTAATTGGATATATGCATAATTTGGAAAATTACCCATCTAATATGATTTAAAATTTAGAACTATTTTCAGAAGAACTTCATCTACAAATTTTCATATTTTTGATATATTTTTTAGGTTTATTCCTGCTGATTGCTCATGGACAAAGTCACAAAAGTACACAAAGGGGTACTACAAGGGGTGGTTGAAAAGTTCTGAGTTAAACTACAAAAATTCATCCTTGAAGGCATGAAGTAGTAACATGTTTGGCACACACAGGCAGCATGAAAGTGACTAGGTATTCTGTATTGAAACAAGGGGAATATATTGGCAGCCATGTTGTCATATCAAGTATCTGCAACTGAACAAGCCATGTCAAACAACCATCCAAGCATCCATGGTGTCAACTTCAGGAGATGATAATTGTTGTACAGTGAATCTTATCTAAACCGGTACCCCACGGGACTGAAATAAAATGCCGGTTTAGACAGAGTGCCAGATTAGACAGTGATGATCATTTTCCAACATGGCTGCCATTTACACTAGTCAAGTTCTTTATTGTTGGGACCGGAAAGTTGTGCCAGAATACAGAATAGACAGGTGCTGGATTAGACAATGTTTTATTGATCATAATATCGTTGTAAAATGGCAGGACCAAAATTTTATGCGGTTGGGACAGTTTGTCGGATTAGACAGGTGCCGGTGTTGGCAGGTTTTACTTTTTGAAGTGCACCTTTAACAGGAATACCGCCTACAATCTCAGTCAAGTGTTTTATACTGTAACATATGTTATATTTGGGATTACACTTTCTTAGTAAAGTATAGATTCTTGTACTTTTGTTAGGCTGAGTCCCATCTGGGATTCAAACCCATGCCCTCAGAGTCAGGCACCTAATCACCAGGCCACAAAGTCAGCCACCTAACCCACTCAGCCACCGCAACTTCAACAAAAATGGAAGCTGGACAACTGGTAGTCTAGACTGCGGGCTTTGTGTACCCCTCTGATAAGTGTTAATTGGCACGGCTCCTACGGCCGAAATCTATGATTACACAATGCCATTTAGAAAGTTGTCAAATGTAACATATGTTATATTTGGGATTACACTTTCTTAGTAATGTACAGATTCTTGTACTTTTGTTTTATACTGTGAATAACATACTGTAAACGTGCTTATTTTCGCGTGGTGCAATTTTCGCGGATTTGACAGTTTAGACTACATCGCGCGGTCAATTATTCGCGCAATCAGTAATTGCCGGAACTGCCAGCTGTCTCTTTGGCCGCCACTAATAGCAGTGAAAACAAACAGAGTGGCTTAACCTGTCAGGCGGCGTTTATTGCTTACTCACAGGAAAACCCTATCTGTGCGATATACTAGTACACAGTAATCCGTTTACTCACGGAAGAGATGAAAAACACATCAGTCTTATGTTCTGAATTCTGACGATCTGACGAACTAACTTCTACTGTATATGAAGCTCTTTGTGATTTCAAACACGCCGGGTTGTTGTGAATGAGATGATTGAGTGTTAAGTGACTATTCGCTTCATGATGTACTGGTAAATAAAATCTTAATGAATAAATAAAATACTGCTGTATTATTTCTTTCCGAGTCGTTTCATGGTAATCTGTTTTGTATCAAACGATCTGTCATGTCATCAATTTCCATGGCGGCCACAACACACATTGCTGTTTTCGCTAATTCGGCAATGGCATTTGGTTCATTATTTAATTATGTTTTGGGAAATCACTTTATGCTACTATCAGTCGTCATTTTAGTAGATTCCTGTCTTCAAACTTGATGTGTTATGGTATGAATGAATGACAGGTTTATTAGCAGTGTATAAATTTTCGCTAAAATGTTTTGCGCGAAAAGCGCGAAAATAAAACCTGCGCGAAATATAATACGTTTACAGTACACATGCAATTCAACAAAATCATGCTTTTCTTGATATTCCACTCAGTAAAGGATGTCTGTGTTTTGCAAACATGTACAGTATGTACACTTGTAATTCACAATGTAAACACTTTTCAAAATATTTACATATGTTGTTCTTTTTAAATAATCCGAAAAAACATGGTGCTTACTTTCTTTCACAATTTCAGCTGATTTAGGCTCAGAATTTTCAGTCAACCCTCATATTTGGTTCTGAGGTTTCATAATGTATGAGTGTACAGTTCACTAAAGTTTGGGACAAACACTTTGCATAAAGAAGCACATGGATACATTCTAGACAACCAAGAAAGGGATATCACAATATGGCTGCTAGTCACAACTAAAACAATAAGAAATTGGAGCAAAGGCTCAAGTTGAAATGTGAAACTTGAAATGAATTAGTCTTGATACATGAATAATTAAATGTGAATCATGAAATGTGAATCATAAAATGTGAATCATAAATGTGAAGCTTGTAAGAATCAGAATGAAGACCGATGCTGTTTTCTATAAGAAACATTTCATGATTCTAGGACCTGCATGACATTACAGAATCACAACATGCCAACAGAAGTTATATATCTGTATAATCCATATGAAAAAGATATGTATCAATATCTTCTGAGCAATGTTAAATCTGAGGTATTTAATAACAGCATTTCCGCTGGTTGCGGAAAATGAAAACATCTACGTTATCTAAATATACATGATATCATAACAAACCTATCATAGTTGTAGTTTCATTCTTAGTATCTTCCACTGTTTGGATGTGCACAGAAACAATTCATTTTTACATGAGCAACAAATACCGTTTGCAGAAATTAATGACTGTGAGACTTTATTTTTCTTCTTTTATCAAACTAGAAACTTTGGATGAAAAAATATGCAGCTCACATTGTGTGAGGTCCGCAGTGACATGGATCATTACAAAAATATCATTTCAATATTCAAACTATTTCAACAAGACAATCTTTTGACAATGGTGTCAGTCTGCCAGCATGTGATTGGTTGCCATGGTTACCTGGAATATTTCATATTAATCATTATTGGCACTGAAGTCAACATTAGGCAGGACTCTCCTTTTCAAATGTACAGTTATGAAAACATCTACATTTGGGAATGGTAATTCTGAGATTCTTCATCAAGTTTGCTAAATGAAAATATGTCCCTGTGAAACAGTAAAATCTGCCTCAGTGAAAAGCAACCAACTGCTGTATTCCACAAAGCCATCACAGAACTGATCACAAATCTGTGTTTTAGTATGGAGTTTAGAAGCATCTCAGGGCTTCACCTATCCTGCCTTGATGATAAACCATGGGAGTTAAGAGCATTTTACAGCTACAAATTTCATGAATGTATGTTTAAAGTATGGGAGATTCAAGCATCTTAATGCTAAGACTATCATGAATTCATGTGTACAGGAATTACGAGTAGCTTATCACTACAAGTATATTACAGTATGGAAGGTACAAGCATCTGAGAACTAAGACTATTATGAATCAATATCAAAGATTTGGAGTTACAACCATCAAATAGTTAAAGTATGAGTGTTCAACTGACCTTAGAGCAATGGCTACAATGACTCCATGTTAAAGAATGGTTATTAATAGGAACTTAGAGCTATGATTTTTAAAAATCTATACTACACATCAAAAGTTTAGACTCACTTGTGTAAATGTAGCCACTTACTTCAGTCAACTGTTCTAAACTTGATTTTGCAAAATATTCCATACTGTTTAAAGGTACTGTTTACACATGAACTGATGTATTGTAAAACAAATTCGTAACGTTGGAAAGATCACCTGGTATTGTCATGAGTTCAATAAATGATGAAACTCAGTGAAAATTGGCAAAACTTTACACCAACAAAACCAAAATGCAGCTGTTCACATGCACGATATTTGCACATACTTTTAAACAATTTGATGCATGATCCTCATGCAATTCATCTGCATAAGATTTGTAGCTGGTTCCCCTAAGTTAGGGGAGAAATTCATCTTTGATGTAACCACATATATATATATACATAACATACAGTGAGTGCTGTAAGTGAGTCTAAACTTTTGATGGATAGTATATGTTAAAGTACTGGAGACAGAAATATCTAAGAGATATGACTATCATAAGTCAGTGAACTGAAGTCAAAAGTATATATTCAACTATCATGAATATATTTTAACGTATGCAAGTAACAAGCATCTTACTGCATGAGTCTTTGTTAAAGTAGGGCTGTTGCCGAGTTCTTGCACATACTGCACTTGGTTTGCCCGATATTTGGCATTCTTGTAGTACTTTGTTACCTGGCCCCGATTTCTCGAAACAAACATCAGTTTTACTCAAATTTCAAACTGAGTTTGACAATTTTGAAACAGCTGAAATTTTAACTCAACAGCATATTTAAAATAAAAAAGCCCAAACAACTTACGTAATCTATCCACCAAACACAAATTGTCTACCATGTTTGAGTTTGATATGGATTTCAGTTCGTTCTGGGAAATGCATTTTCCTGCGGTTTCTCAAATTTGAGTAAAAACTCATACTTAAGTCAAAACTCAGATTTAAGTTTGTTTCGAGAAATCGGGTCCTGATGTCATAACTGTCTGAGTTTGGACCTAACAGTTATTCATGGCCACTTGCACAAAGTTATCTTAGCACTAAGACTACTAGTATGTTAAGTCTATGATGAAGTAAGGAAGTTACAATTGCCATAGCACCAAGATCTCTCCGAGTAAATGGCCACTTGGTTTAATGAGCTTGTTATAATAACTCAACATGACTGGGCATTGGTGTCTATGCATTGCTAAGGACATCTGTGAAAGTCTCACAAACAACATTCTGCTATTCTGAACAGCCCCACAACATCAACTTATATCCACACATTAATATGGTTCACTTAACAGTGTCACTTGAGCAATAGTGGACTCCTAGTTTCCAACTGACTGACTGTAATTCTACACGTCACCAAAGAAATAGTATAAACTTACAAAACACCTGCACAGTTGGTGTAGGACGCACCCTGTACTGACGAGGCGCATAATTATCCAGCATACATCTATGTACACAACGATTCATAACAACATAATAGTGAGATCTAAAATTGCATGTGAAAGTACTGACATACTCTTAAGACAATCACAGAAAGTACCATGTTTTCTTGAGAAATGTGCACACTTATTCTTCACCAAAACACAGCCATGAATACACAGTGCAATTTACAAAGTGGTCAAATGTAACATGTTACATTTGGGAGTACACTTTTTCAGGAAAGTACAGATTCTAATATTTTGTCGGGTTGAGTCCCATCCAGGATTCGAACCCACATCCCTAGTGTCAGGCACCTAATCACCAGCACACAAAGTCAGCCGTCTAACCCACTCAGCCATCGCATCTTCCACAGATTTTTAGAGGGTGTGCTCATTATACACACCATGATGAAACTTATGTTTTTCTATCCCAAAGCATAGTTTTACTATGAGCATGTAACACCAGCACTACCATGTCAACAAATAAGTAATTAAATATGCAATTTATTTATGTAATTCACTTTCTAGTTATATGACCGCCTCCATGGTGTAGTGGTTAGAGCGTCCGCCCGGAGAGTGGAAGGTCGCGGGTTCCATCCCCAACCGCGTCATACCAAAAGACGTTAAAATATGATACTTGTTGGTCCCTGCCTGGCTCTCGGCATTATTGGGTACAACAAGGACTGGTCGGCTCGGAGTCAGTATAATGTGTCTGAGTGGGGTATTCATGCTTCACTGCGGCATGGTATCTCAGTGAGCTAGCACTATAAAACCAGCTAAGTCTGGGCTAGTTCAAGCAGCCGTACCTACACATACACACGCATGCACATCGTCATATGAGCGAAATATTCTCAAGCACGACGTTAAACCCAATTTCACCTCACCTTGTAGTTATATACAGTTGTTCATCTGCACCTATTACTTAACTTAAAACCTATTTTTAACAAAATACTGAGGTGTGTGTGCATTATACATGGGTGTGCACTGAACTCAAGAAAATATGGTATATAAAATACGCTTGGTTTACCTTGACCACTGCACAGAACTTTCCTGACCACAGAAGGTGCTTGTCACAGTCCTTTAGACAACAGGTCACTGATGACAGACTTTTCAAGGCAAAACTATACATTTTTAGTCCCTTGCTCCAGCACTACGACCATGGTAAGGTATGGGTGGCCCTAATTCTCTAGGACCTGCATAAGATCTATGTAATATATTCACGATGTGCCTCAGATAAAATGGCTGATTCCCTCATCGATGGCATATTCCATTGTATGGTTGTGTCAAAAATAACAATAAATAATAAAACAAATTTAATATTCTTGCACCGAAAGTGGAAAGAAAGCGTAAAATGAAGCAGCAGGCTCTTCATCCAAACCACGCCCAGAAACCCACACACTACAGCTTCTACCAGAAACACAAACTACAGCTTAATTATGTAGGGCTTGGTGTGGTTAGGGGAGGTAACTCTGGATAGCAAATCATGCACTCGAGACCTGATCACCACCTTCGTTCCTGTTCCCAGTTCTCTTTAATGATGAAAGAGGATGAATTAAACCAATTCAGAATTTTCATCATTGTTTATGGGAATAAATTACTGATCTTCAAGCTGAGGTTTTTATCAAATCATAGTGAACATGACTATGTAAGGAATATAGTGATATTTCCTTTTGCTTGAATGCATTGAATTACATTATACTAATTCATGTGACAAATTTGTTCAACAAGCACCTTTGTACTGATCAATGGATGAATTTATCTAATATGTGCAATCATGCTTACTAATGTAAGCTAAATTGTAACAACAAAGTTCATAAAACAAAACAAAAATAAAGAAATATAAGTGTAACTGTATATCTAATTAAAATATCTGTATAAAATAAACTTCATAGTGTGTTTGATTTTCTCAGCTAATAATACTGAACATTGACATAATCATCAGCTCACAATGACTTATAAAACATAAAAGCAGCCATTGTAAAACCTGACTACAGAAAAGATTATGGTTGGTACATTTCTTAAAGGGGGACTACACCTTGTTATAATGGCAGCACAAGCAAATAAACATCACTGAGAACAAATGAACAAACAGTAGAAGACAGACAAAAAGCTCACTTTAAAAAGACACCAGTGAGAATAAACCATTAAGTAAACCTTGCTTTTAGGTTTGGCTGCACCATAAAAATTATGGTTGCACCATAAAATAATGTCACTGGTTCTAAAAAGTAACATAAATATTTGCCTAGCAGTTTTCATAACATGTACTCAGTATCAGATACATTCAACAGAACCTGACCCCTTGATGATAAATGATTAAGGATTCTTTTTCCATTTTGCCTTACCTTTGCTTATAAATATCAACCATATAATTACTTCTATGTAACTGATTTATGAGTACACAAATGTTGTTGCTTGTAACAAGTCATGTGGAGAGAAACAATTTACTTACAGAAACTCACTTCCCAATTAAGACGCATGATGACAGGTGTAAGATACTGGAAGATTTCTTGTTACCTGCACCAAGTGCAACCTGTTACTAAAGGTAACCTGCACTGGCCATTATTAACATGCACCAGTGCAGGTTGTAAATAGCGAAATGGCACTCTAATAAGTGAGTGAGTGAGTGAGTGAGTTTGGTTTTACGCCGCTTTTAGCAATATTCCAGCAATATCACGGCGGGGGACACCAGAAATGAGCTTCACACAATGTACCCATGTGGGGATTCGAACCCGGGTCTTCGGCGTGACGAGCGAACGCTTTAACCACTAGACTACCCCACCGCCCCCACTCTAATAAGGAATGAGTGAATGTTGTTTTACGCCAATGCCAGCACTATTCCAACCTCATCATGGCCAGGTGGACCAGTGGTCGATAGTATCAGCACCAATCAGGTGGTCAGGTAACGACACATGATCAGTTAGCTGATACTTCACTGATCCAATACGGCCAGAGCTTTCTCTTAAAGAGAGTTTAACATGCTTTTAGCAATATTCCAGCAATATCATGCAAACACTATAACAGGTTTAACAGATTGTACTCAAGTGGGAATCAAACCCTTGTCCAAGGTGTGAAAAGCAAATGTTTCAACCACTACTCTACCAAACCACCTCTCTTACTCTTAGAACCAGGGTAATAGGGGCCTATTTTGACCACAGCCCCATCACACAAAGCGATGTTAGCACTTAGATAATCATAACTCCCTCAATATAAGATAGGCTTACAACAATATTAGTGCAAAGATGTGGAATGGGCCATAGAAATCATCACCAGGACCTCTGAAGGTATTCTACAGATGTGCTACATCTAAAACAAGTTTCAGAGGTAATTTTGCATCCATTTTTAACAGTTCAAAGAAACAGGAAATCTATCGTCATTCTTGGAAAATACTGCTGTTGTCCACTTAAAGACACATACAACTTGATACATGTTCATGGCTTCATCGCCCAACTAAAACACTGGCCTATGGGGCATCCTGGGGTGAAAGTTGAACAAATAAGACGACATATTTAAAACCATTGCCGATGGATCCGGTCTTTCTGAAATAAACCCATTACAATACGTAAAAGTGGCATTTCCATGATGCTCTCTCTCGAACCAGTACGTCGTGTTCAGGAACTGCACCTCGTCCAGAGTAAGGTTCCGCATCGTCTGGTTGCTATGGAGATCGCGATAGATAAGCGTCAAATTCAAATCTTTTCCCAGTATAAGGAAACAGTTGGTGTGGTTGTTGAGATGGGACAGCACGCGGTCAATGATGATGCCCATCGCCAAAACCATGAGCAGGCATACCAAGAACACTCCCCGCTTCAGTAGCGTTTTCTGGAGGTCGGTCAGCTCGTCGGACTGACCGCTGCGGACACTCTCGAGACTGCTGTAGGTGGACAGCTGGATGTGGTCAGCTTCCATGAGGTCCGTGTCAGACATCGACATTGGCCGGTGGAGAGGAGATATGTCTGGAAAATACAACATCGTAGGATAATCTGATACGCTACATTTTGAACAGGCTGTAACAATTTTCCATCTTGCCACATGGAATTCAACAGTATTTTTGTTCTGACATGGAAAATAAGTCAAATTAAAGATTATGACCTTACGAGAAAATTTGATTCTGAAACGTGAAATGACAATCTAAATTTCACTGGACACAAAATGACGTCTTACACAATTTAATAATGGACAGAAAATTCAGAGGAACACAAAAATTATGGCTATTTAAATAACTAAATTTATCAACTGCATATTATACATGACTGATAGTTCTGATCTGGTAGGAAATTCTTCAAAGTTCTATAATTGGGTTAACATGAAAATGCCCAAATAAACAGGCTTAAACAATCCTGAGAACAGACAGTGATATGACATCAGTTATTGTTCAGGGCACCACATGATGTCAGCCTGGGACCAGCTACTTCATATGTCCGTGTTATTTTGTTGTTGTTGTTGTTGTTGTAATTTTGAAAACATACAATCAGTGATAGACTTGTAATGCAATGATACCATTACACCTTTAACACCATTGCATCAAAATACAGCGTGTTTCTAAAAAGGAGTTGCACAGCCCTGTTCCTCCAGTCTGTCTGAGTTAGTATAGCTGAAGGCCTGGTATACACAACGCCTTCACAACAGATACACATTCATTCTGAATCTCTTCAAGTCTGAGTGTTATACAGGAATACCTTTATCTGTTTGTTCTTGGTCGATGCCTGAAGAGCCAGCACGGATTTGAGCCTGTAACAGACCATGACTAATGTATTGCCTTCTCATCTCTTCATCACAGAAATACAACCATCTAAACGCCTCACATAATGATAAATTGACAATCAGATGTGAACTGAATGCTCGCGAAACACTGATTATTGAAATGTCCGCATGTGTGATGTTGCGGTAAATATGAAATATAGACTTGAGCATGTGTCTGACTGCTGATTGTCGAATTTGTATCATGTGCTTGCATTCTCGCATTTGACACCATGATCATGGAGTGAGTGAGTTTGCTTTTACACCGCTTTTTTTAGCAATATTGCAGCAATATCACGGCGGGGGACACCAGAAATGGGCTTCACACATTGTACCCATGTGGGGAATCGAACCCGGGTCTTCGGCGTGACGAGCAGACGCTTTAACCACTAGACTACCCCACCGCCCCTCATGTTGGAGGACCTGTGATTCAGGTGTTACACATTTACCACTGTAGTAAAACCCATGACCTTGATTTTCGAAGCTCTGTTAGAGCTAAGACAGTCACAAGTTAATGTTAATGTATGGCACTTACAATCATCTTAACACTATGAGAGTTTCAAAAATCTAGGTCCACAAGAAAATTATTGAGAAACCTACGAGTACAACATTAGAGCAATTCTCATATTCAAACCTATGAAACAGGCCTCTGGCAGTCCTAAGGGACATGAGTCAGTCATCTGCTGTTTAGTAAAACCCTGGGTGAGAAACCTTCGAACGCAACATTAGAGCAATTCTGAGATTCAAACAAATGCACACAGGATTTCTGCAACTCCTAAGGGACACAACTTAGATTGTCTGGTCCAGACTCAATTATTTACTCAACTCGACTGCTGTCATGCAGTTGGATTATTGCTGAGTGAGGCAAACAAGAAATAAATACTCACAATTTTCGCCTGTTTTGTCCAGTCTGTCATTCCAATCATGGTAAGGAAGGCCAGGGACTGGAGGAACACGGACAGAATAAGAGCAGACCACATACCTGTAACAGAACCAGCATGTAAGGGTGAGTCTGGCCTGCCAACATCTTCAACAGACAAAGTTGGTTGTCGATAATGAGACACATGTGAAGTCTGGCCTGCCAACATCTTCAACAGACAAAGTTGGTTGTCGATAATGACGTTTGAGACACATGTGAAGTCTGGCCTGCCAACATCTTCAACAGACAAAGTTGGTTGTCGATAATGACGTTTGAGAAACATGTGAAACTACTGACAGTAATAAGGTTTCAGTTTTGCAAGCCTAAATGGGGCAAATAAATAGAAATATTAACAAAAATAAATAACAATAACAGTGTTCCTTGATTGATGCCCCATATCTTATTAGGGGCATGATTGTCTTATTTATTTGTTGTATTGCATGTTTTAGGATATCAAAAAGACCTTTTAAGTCAGATCCATCACCCCAACTGGACGGAAGAAGCTTAACTGCTGATTGTGACCGCCATCCAAGACACAGAAGTGACGTTAGACATAGAGATTACAAAACAAGTGGGCGTTGAATATGGAAAATATTCCAACAAGATACTTTTAAACATTTTGATTTATTCATTCGCTTTTGCTCGTGAATAAATCAAAATGTTTATTCACAAGCAAAAGCGAATGAATAAATCAAAATGTTTAAAAATACTGAGTTGGAATATTTTCCATATTCAACATCCACAAGTTTTGTGATCTATGTAATATATGCAGGGCGGGAAAACAGTGTATTCAAAGAACAGAACAAAAAAACGTTGAGTGACATTACCACACAATAATACAAGGCACCGCTCAATAATACAATGCAACAGAGGCATACATTGTCACTTTTGTCTCAAGAATGTGCAAGTTCATGTTGAAGATCCTGGACGTTCCCCTACCCACCATCACAGATATAATCAATGTCAGTATATCCACGGGTGTTGTGCCAGATTATTTTTAAAAAGCCATTGTCAAACCCCTTCTGAAGAAGCCAAATTTAGATCAGCTACTCAAGAACTATAGGCCAGTCTCCAACCTATCGTTCATATCCAAAATCCTAGAAGAAGATAGTTAAGAGACAATTACTGTACCACCTGACCTCAAATGATCTACTTCACAAGTATCAGTCAGTTTATAGACAGGCCAACAGTACGGAAACGGCATTGAACTGTGTGATGAATAGTGTGCACATGTCTGTTGACAGAGGGGATATTGCTATGCTGCTATTGTTAGACTTGTCATCCGCCTTTGATACCATAGATCATAGCATAATATTGCATCGTCTCGAGAACACCTTCGGCATCACAGGGATACCGCTTTAGTGACAAACAGGTCACAGGCAGTCCTAATTGGCGATGAGATGTCCACTCCAGCCAGAAATTGTTCTGTGGAGTGCCACAAGGATCAGTGTTGGGGCCAATACTTTTTACCCTTTATACAACACCTCTAGGTCAGTGTATTGAAGAACATCATATACCTCATCATTTCTATGCAGATGACTCGCAAGTACAGAACAACTTTAAGCCAACGCCCATCAATCAATCTGAAGCAAAACATGCAATGCAACAGTGCATTGCTGATGTCAGTAAATGGATGGAAAAGAACAAGCTGAAACTCAATTCAGACAAAACGGAGGTGATTTTCGTTGGACCTCCATCCAGGTTACGGAAATGTACTTTGGATCATCTGTCTATCGGGTCAGCTGACATCACCTTCAAGTCATCTGTCAAGAACCTTGGTGTATACCTTGACTCCTCGCTATCCATGGAAGATCAAGTGAGCCACTGCTGCAAGGTCAGTCATTATCGCCTGAGGAACATCAGTGCCATCAGACAGTTGCTGACGAGAGACGCAGCTGCCTCCCTCGTGAGATCTCTGATATTCTCTCGATTAGACTGTTGCAACAGTTTGCTCTATGGAATCACCAATCAACAGATCAGACGTCTGCAGCACATCCAAAACTATGCTGCCAGATTGGTCACTCGGACGAGCATAAAGGCACACATCACACCAGTGCTAAACTCGCTAAACTGGCTCCGCATTCCTGTGCGAATCATTTTCAAAATACTCTCAATCACTTACCAAGCTGTCCATGGTACTGGACCTGCCTATCTGAGTGATCTGACTGTCCCATACCTCCTTTCAAGAACTCTGCGCGCTCTAGTCAAAATCAGCTCCTTCGGGTGCCTGTCACCAAACTTAAAACTTTCGGCTCCAGATCCTTCTCTGTCTCAGCCGCTACTCTGTGGAACTCTCTACCCGAATCACTGAAGTTGATTCCATCTCTAGAATCTTTTAAATCCAGTCTTAAAACCCACCTTTCCAAGCACTATACCTAAAAGAATCCCCACACAACTCATACCATTGTGTAGAACTCAACTGCCTCTGTTTCCATCGTTTGAGGCAATGCGCTTTGAGCATACCTTCATGGCGTGGATATAGCGCAATACAAGTGCCATTATTATTATTATTATTGATGACTCAACATCTGACTGAAGTCCTTGTGGGGGTTCATGGACAACTAACTGTAATTGTTGATACACTGGACGTTTCTGTGCCCTGATATTTGCATAATTTCAGTTGGGGGTATGTTACCATCAGCGTGTTTTTGAACTAGATACTTTCTAGCTGAGTGATAAGTAAACCGTTGGTTTTCTAATCCATTTTTGGCCATTTGTCTCATGATGGAGCCCAGATTATGAACTCCAACTGGTTGTCGCTTAAACCAAGGATGTATGGCAGACGCTTGTTTGGTGTTGGTGGCAAGGTAGAATGGCGAGTCAGGGAGTGAATGAATATCCAGCTGGTGGGAGTTCGCTATATTGCTTGAACAGTGCAACCAGACAAAGTTCATCACCAGTAGCCCAAGCTTTGGGACTAAGTTTCGCACACCATCTTTACTGTCACCCCGGCAAGTTTTGGACTGTCTTTCCTGAAATTCAAGAAATTCAGTTCCATCCCGGTCAGTCTTCAAGGAGACATCACCTCACTTCATGTCATTGTGCAGCTTCACACTACAGATTCCAAAGAGGGTAGTATTGAACCACCAAAGTGAATTCAAAATAGCTTCAGGATTGCTCACTCCAAGCTGTCACCTTTGCTACAGGTTGTCAACATCTTAATCAGACAGGGCTTCTAAACGCTCAGGTAAGTTACATTTTCCGTCACTCTTGAGAACCTTCTGTTTTGTTTTTACAACATCAGCCAGCTTAGCAAATGCAGCGTCACTGAACAGCAATGCACCGTAGTTCCTTGATTTCAGGTGTCTGTCAAAGCTTTGGATATAGCCGTTGCCAGTATACTACCATGGACAAAGTCAAATGTATTGCCAAGGAAACAATAAATACACATTTGAACATCTTAAAATAGCACAGGGCTCAAGTTCATAACTTGATGTCTCTCCCTGTTCAAAGTTTATGAATAAATATGTGTTAGTTTTAGAGATAAAATAGTTTCTCCTTATTGATAGATGATAGTTCCCATTCAGATTAATCATAACTTTGATGAGGCAAAAGAGGAACTAAATTGCATGTTCCGGAAGTTGTGTTTATTTTATCCTTAATAATAGAAAAATATGCTCTGAAAAGTCTTTTATCCATGGTTTTATTCAAATTATTACTTTTCCAGTCCATGTATTAGTAGTTCCATGTGCCCTCTTTGAAAATATGCACAAAAAGTACATTTAGGGTCTCAATATGAGATTTTAATAATTATTCTCTGAAAATTTTAACTTTTCAAGTTTACCCCATAATAGGATTTAGCATACATGTATTTGACTTTTATAACCCATGTATTAGTAATACCTTGTGTTCTCTTTGAAAATATCCATAAAAAGTACATTTGTGTGTCAATATGACATTTTCAAAAATATTCTCTGAAAATTTCAATTTTTTAACTTTTTACCTCAAAATAGGACTTCAGATAACATTATTTGACTTTTCTCACTCTATTGGTAGTACCCTGTGTATGCTTTGAAAATATATATAAAAAGGTAAATTTGTGTCTCAATGTGAGATTCTAAAAATTATTTACTTAAGATTTCAATTTTTAAACTTTTTACCCCCCAAAATAGGACTTAGCATCATATTTCAAGGGAGGACTTTTTAATACTCATTAGTTATAACTTATACATGTTGGAAACACTGAAATCATTTCTGTACCAATTATTTGGAGGTTTTGTCACATTTTGACTGGACTATTATTCCGTTGCTGAGAAATGACCAGAAGTGGGATGAGTTTTTGACACTACTGAGAGTGAGTGATGGATTTAACACTATTTCTGTTCCATCTCAGCATGTCAGCTTCAAGTATGAGGAAAGCCTGCAGAGACCCAGAAAGCCTGTGCGAGGCGCTACTTCCAGCACCAGACTTCTGGTGACAAGCATATATTCAAGAAACAGTTCTGGTTCCAAATTGTGCAACCAGCAAATATGACTTTGCTAGACCGGACCAAGTGAACAACCACGCTTGGCTGTCACAGTCGTTAACAGTCATAACAGTCTGCTAATTTGAGGATGGTTAGATAGAAAATTTGTATTCCGGCAAGGATAATCAGTTCCTTACTGTCAACTGACAACTATGAGACTATTTGAAAAGGTATGAAACATTGTTTGTCACCGGAAGTACTAAACAACATAAGGTCTCGTGAAGTGATTTGACCTACTTACTGACCCAAAATGTTCCAGTGGCCTGATGTGCAATTATGAGTTGTCTCCCTTTGCATTAACACCCTTTCAGTTTCTTTGATCTTCAGGGTTTGTTGATACTCTTTGTTACACTCTATGTTGTGTTTGTATATAGATTCAATGAGATTGCAATGTAGTTGTGTGATGAAATGGTTCAGTTAGTTGTGGGTAAGAGTTTTGAGAGAGATGGCATGTAATGGACGACTAAAAGATTGTGTGATGTTAAGTGGATCAGTTAGCTGCAATGTTGGACCATAATTTTGGTCCATAATGTTGGACCATAATGTTGGTTCATATTGTTGGTTCATATTGTTGGTCCATAATGTTGGTTCATATTGTTGGTCCATAATGTTGGACCATACTGTTGGTTCATATTGTTGGTTCATATTGTTGGTCCATAATGTTGGTTCATATTGTTGGTTCATATTGTTGGACCATAATGTTGGTCCATAATGTTGGTCTATACTGTTGGACCATAATGTTGGTTCATAATAATGTTGCACCGCAATGTTGGTCTATAATGTTGGACCATAATGTTGGTCTATGATGTTGCACCATAATGTTGGTCCATAATGTTGGTCTACACTGTTAGTCTATAATGTCGGACCATAATGTTGGTCTATAATGTTGGTCTACACTGTTAGTCTATAATGTCGGACCATAATGTTGGTCTATAATGTTGGATCATATTGTTGGACCATAATGTTGGTCCATAATGTTGGACTATACTGTTGGACCATAATGTTGGTCTATAATGTTGATCCATAATGTTGGTTCATAATAATGTTGCACCACAATGTTGGTCTATAATGTTGGACCATAATGTTGGTCTATGATGTTGGACCATAATGTTGGTCTATGATGTTGGACCATAATTCTGGTCTATACTGTTGGTCTATAATGTTGCACCATAATGTTGGTCTGTAATGTTGGTCTACACTGTTAGTCTATAATGTCAGACCATAATGTTGGTCTATAATGTTGGACCATAATGTTGGTCTACACTGTTAGTCTATAATGTTGCACCATAATGTTGGTCTATAATGTTGGTCTACACTGTTAGTCTATAATGTCGGACCATAATGTTGGTCTATAATGTTGGATCATATTGTTGGACCATAATGTTGGTCCATAATGTTTGTCTATAATGTTTTGGACCATAATGTTGGTCTATAATGTTGGACCATAATGTTGGTCTATAATGTTGGATCATATTGTTGCACCATAATGTTGGTCTATACTGTTCGTCTATAATGTTGGACCATAATGTTTGCCTATAATGTTGGTCAATAATGTTGGTCTAAAATGTTTTGGACCATAATGTTGGTCTATAATGTTGGTCCATAATGTTGAACCATAATGTTGGTCTATAATGTTGGACCATAATGTTGGTCTATAATGTTGAACCATAATGTTGGTCTATAATGTTGGACCATAATGTTGGTCTATAATGTTGGACCATAATGTTGGTCTATAATGTTGGTCCATAATGTTGAACCATAATGTTGGTCTATAATGTTGGACCATAATGTTGGTCTATAATGTTGAACCATAATGTTGGTCTATAATGTTGGACCATAATGTTGGTCTATAATGTTGGACCATAATGTTGGTCTATAATGTTGAACCATAATGTTGGTCTTTAACTTAGGACAGTGTTGGTTACCAGGACCAACATCATTGGGGAATGAAACCACTGATCACCAAATCCTGGCACGGCCAATGGAGGCTAAAATGTGATACTACTGAGTACCTTCAAGTTGTAATGATGTCTTAAACATGAGCAGTGCACCAACTGGCAGGGCTATAATGTAGTAGGAGATGAAGTTCATTGAGGCGCCAAACAACTGCTTGCCCAAGCCACGCAACACGCCACTGCAGACACCCTGAGGACAGAAGATATTGTCAAATATTACATCACTTCCATGTAAACAACAATTAGTGCTGTAATGATGCGTCAAACTTTGTGTGCTGGCAATTAGGTGCCTGACTCTGAGATGTGGGTTCAAATCCCGGGTGGGACTCAACACAACAAAAGTACTAGAATCTGTACTTTACTGAGAAAGTGCAATCCCAAATATAACATGTTACTATCTAATATGGCATTGTTTATTTCAAAACTATAGATGGATTGCAATTGTTGAGTCTCCGATAGCAATTAATCGATGGTAGAAACGAAAAACTATTGATGCATCGATAGTATGTGTGAGTATCACTTTGATTTGGAGTTATCCGCCCCTGATACCTCTTAAACAAACATGGGCGACAAACACGGCATGCGACTCGGAGTTTGAAATTGTGAACAACAATAAGTTTGTTTTATTGTATATTGACCTGTTTACACAAGAGTAGCAATGTTGTGGTGCATATATGATTACTGATACGCCATTATATTCCATTCAGTACTGGAAAAATAAGGAGTATGTACTCCTGATGTTGAAAAATTATCTGGAGACCTGTTTAAGAGTTTACAAGCATTGTTATTAGGGTTGACTATTGAGGGGAAAACAACAATTGTGATAGTGATAGTCTATTGCAATAGTTTTTTTCTCATTGAATTGTCTCATTTGAAGTCATTTTCCAAATGTATGTATAGTTTATATGAAATAAAAACAAGTTGAAGTAGTTTCAGTCTATTTGAATAACTGACAAGAAACTTGAAACCCAGATCAAGAAACCAGTTAAAACATAATACTTTTTCAGATAAATACGTCTGTAAATGATTCTAAGACTGTACACCATTGTTGTGGTGCGCATCTGCTACGTTTTCTAAATTATCTCCTACCGTATCGTGCATATTTTATATCCATACATATCCTGATACGGGCCTTATCTGGAGCCCTGCTTAAATCATTATGTAAATGGTTTAACATATGACACACATCTGGGTCAGACACAGTAAGGTAGATTTCATCATTTTTACGAGACCATGTCAGTTCTTACAAGACCCCAAATTCCCCTTATCAAGCCAACTCACAAATGCACCGTCCATGTATCCCTCTCAGAAGTTTCCCCGATTCTTTTTAGCATCAATCGCATCTTAACAACACACAGGGCGGTTGGGTAGCCTAGTAGTTGGTGTGTTAACTTGACATGCCATCGACTGTTCAATTCCCCACATGGGTACAATGTATGAAGACGATTTCTGGTGATATTGCTGGATTATCGCTAAAAGCAGCATGAAACTTCACTCAATCAACTGTTCCTACATTCAAATCATTCACTCACCTGTGTGGCATCGAACAGGTGAAACAGGGCAATCATTGGTAAAATTTTTGTTATCAGGTCAACAATCGATCTGTAAGAAACACAAACTTCACTGTCAAGTCAATATACAAATGAAATGGGGTTAAGAAGCCAATTGATACACCTATATAAGGAACATGACTAATGATGTATCAGACTATGTGTGCATCAAAATCTATCTTAGTAATGATACATCACACTATGTTTGCATCATAATGCATCTCAGTAATGATGAATGACACTATGTGCCTCATAACACATCTTAGTAATGATGCATCACACTATGTGTGCATCATAATGCATCTTAGTAATAATGCATCATGCTATGTGTGCATTATAATGCATCTTAGTAATGCATCACACAATGTGTGCATCATAATGCATCTTAGTAATGATACATCACGCTATGTGTGCATCATAACACATCTTAGTAATGATGCATTACGTGTGACTCATAACACATCTTAGTAATGATGCATTACATGTGTGCCTCATAACACATCTTAGTAATGAAACATCACACTATGTGTGCATCATAATGCATCTTTGTAATGATGTGCATCATAACACATCTTAGTAGTGATGATCTTAGTATTACATGTGTGCATCATATCTTAGTAATGATGCATCTTAGTAATGATGCATCACACTATGTGTGCATCATAACATAATGATGCATCTTTGTGTGCAATGTAATGATGCATCACGCTATGTGTGCATCAAAATGCATCTTAGTAATGATACATCACGCTATGTGTGCATCATAACACATCTTAGTAGTGATGAATTACATGTGTGCATCATAATTCACCTAAGTAATGATGCATCACACTATGTGTGCATCATAATGCATCTTTGTAATGATGCATCACACTATGCGTGCCTCATAACACATCTTAGTAATGATGCATCATGCTATGTGTGCATCATAACACATCTTAGTAATGATGCATCATGCTATGTGTGCATCAAAATGCATCTTAGTAATGATGCATCACACAATGTGTGCATAACACATCTTAGTAATGATGTATTACATGTGTGCATCATAATTCATCTTAGTAATGATGCATCACACTATGTGTGCATCATAACACATCATAGTAATGATGTATTACATGTGTGTATCATAACACATCTTAGTAATGATGTATTACATCTGTGCATCATAATTCATCTTAGTAACGATGCATCACACAATGTGTGCATCATAACACATCATAGTAATGATGCATCACACATGTGTATCATAATTCATCTTAGTAACGATGCTAACACAATGTGTTCCTCAATATGCATCACAGTAATGATGCTTTACGTGTGCATCATTATACAATTTAGTGACTATGAATCATAATTCATCTTGGCTAAGCATGACAATACTCTGTTGCATTATTATTCTCCTAATAACTATGCATAAGAAAATGTGTGCTTCATAATGCACAGTAGTTTCTGTGCACCATAATTCACTGAGTGCATCAAAATTCATCTTAGATGATATGCATCAAAATAGACTGTGAACATAATTACTCAACTCGGTAACTAATTCACAGTAACACAATTTGAATTCAATGGTAACATGGCAACAATGTATTACTATACACTTTGAACACTACATCATTATCAAATAGCTATGTATCACATCATCTAATCATCATTATTATTACGCAAGACAAATGTAGTTAGATCAAACTCAACAATTATTTACCATGTGTAGCCCCACACAGCACACACTTACTGAGAAAAATGTCAACTTTGATGAAAAAATACCAGTGTAAAGTGATAGAAATAGTGACAGACATTTGCTTACAATGAGCCAGGTGTGCACCAAGGACAGGTAAGTTTACTTACTTTTCATTAGTAAATGCTAAGGGAATGACTTGTCGTAATAAAAGCAGCAGCATTGCCACAAACAGAGCTATCATCCCTGAAAGTAAACAAGGTCAAGGTCAAGTAGGGTAGGTTAGCTCCAACACCTCTTTGAATAGTTTGGGTAGAAACGGAATGTACTGTCTCCTGAGAAACACCTGATCTGACAGCACAACTCGGAAATCACCAGACTGTAGACTCTCTCGACCAATTCTGGCATCACTGTTCAAGAGCAAGGGTCATCTTCAGCACACTTCCTGCATAAGCTTTGCTGCTTACCTGTTCACAGTGGCATAGTAAGGGGCAACCTACCCACATGTTGTCATCTTCAATTTGTTCATTTCCGCAGGCCATGGACCCCTGCTTTTTTCATTAATTTGTCGCAGGGAAGGAATTTACTCAATTGACACAGTTTTTAACAGAGATACTCCTCAGACATCAGGTAGCAAAAAATATTTCACTGTTATGCAATTCCTTCCATGTCAGGCTCGGAACTTATCAGTCAACACCCATGTAAGCAATAAAATATTAGAATGCAAAAGATATCATGTATTCAGGTATCAAAATGTGTGTTAGGTATATTTTTTTGACTGAAAAGAATTGAGAGTTTCCAACATACATATGAGAGAGATGGCAACATGGGCAGCTGTCATGGCTTCCATAGGGTTGCCCTCACCAAGATGGTTGCCCACACGGACACTGGCAGCAATAGCGTTTCCAACTGCAATCTGAAAAAACACATATATTACCACTGTACATTTTTGCTTAATGTTTTCAAGGCAGAACTGATGCTATGCAACACTCACCATGTGCAACCAATACTCACCAGCAACAGCCAACACTCACCAGCAACAACCAATGCTCACCAGCAACAACCAATACTCACCAACAACATCCATCACTCACCAGCAACAACCAATGCTCACCAACAACAACCAATACTCACCAGCAACAACCAATAATCAACAGAGACATCCAATACTCACCAGCAACAACCAACACTCACCAAGAACAACCAACACTCACCATGAGCAACAAATACCCACCAGCAACAACCAATACTCAACAGAAACAACCAACTCACCAGCAACAACCAACACTCACCAAGAACAACCAACACTCACCATGAGCAACCAAGTCACCATGAGCAACCAATATTCACCAGCAACAACCAACACTCACCAAGAACAACCAACACTCACCAAGAACAACCAACACTCACCAGCAACAACCAATGCTCACCAGCAACAACCAATACTCACCAAGAACCAACACTCACCATGAGCAACCAATACTCACCAGCAACAACCAATACTCAACAGAAACAACCAATACTCACCAGCAACAACCAACACTCACCAAGAACAACCAATACTCAACAGAAACAACCAATGCTCACCAGCAACAACCAATACTCACCAAGAACAACCAACACTCACCATGAGCAACCAATACTCACCAGCAACAACCAATACTCAACAGAAACAACCAATACTCACCAGCAACAACCAACACTCACCAAGAACAACCAACACTCACCATGAGCAACCAATACTCACCAGCAACAACCAATAGTCACCATGAGCAACCAATACCCATCAGCAACAACCAACACTCACCATAAGCAACCAACACTCACCAGCAACAACCAACACCCAACACCCACCAAAAACAACCAACTTTACCAGGAACAACCAACACTCACCAGGAACAACCATCACCCAGCAAGAACAACCAACTTCACCAACAACAACCAACTTTACCAGGAACAACCAGCACACCAAGGACACCATCATCTTAATGCTCCACTTTTACCAGTGACACCCATTACTCATCATGCAGACGCTCAGGTCTCACCATGAACATGAGGATGGCAAGCTGGAACAGTATTGCATGAGTTGCCAGCTCGACGCCACCGAGCAGACCTGCAAAGAGATATGTACATCAAGCTAAACAAGTCTTGGAGAACTGGTTTCATGAGAACAAGGTGTACTACAGGGACAATTCATCAAATCTGAATGTACATTTACTTACACTGGAGACCCATAAAGATCTTCATTAGAAATGGGCTTCAGCAACCTACGATTGTCATAAGAGGCGACTAACTGGACCAGGTGGTCAGGCTCACTGACTTGGTTGACACATGTCCTCGTATCTCAGCTGTATAGATTCATGCTCATCATAATAGTCACTGGATTGTCTGGTCCAGACTCAATTATTTACATACTGCCATCATACAGCTGGAATATTACTGAGTATGGCTTTAAACAACAAACGTAAACTGGACATTCTGTGCACCTTTCAGTTCTGATTACATCATTCAATCTAAAACATATATAAGGCAGCTCAATGACATCTTACTATGCTTACAAGGCACTCAGTTCTGTGCATTAGAAAGAGTAAACATCTGAATGACTTGACATTGACAAAATATACACAGACCTCTAGTGCCCAAGGGGTGCCCAGAAGTCAATGTTGTATTGTCTTGCATTCTTTCTCTAAGATTAAGAAGAAATCATTATATTGTGTTTTGACAATTAGGGCTTGTCGGAAATGTGAACAGTGGTGTGGAACTTACAATATTCAGATGTTTTCATAGGTAAGTGTAATCTGGAATCTTCTAGAACAGCATAGAGTAATACAGCATAGTCAAAGAACCTTCTACAAGGGCATGCCTCTAACATCTCGCAAAACGTCAACACCAGTGTTTGGTGATGATCAGTTTTTCACCCTTGCATCAAGACTTCATCTATTTTGGAAGTTTGACCACTCTTGCTGCTTGGTGAATATCATTACCACTTTCTAACCACCATCACTATTCTATTTTATATTTCTATATTTTATATCGCAACTGAAATTTTGTGTTGTCACTCTGTCTTGTAACGCTTTGAAATCATTTTGAAGTTATTTGAATTTGAAACTCCAGTTAATTTTCTAAAACAGTTATTATCTGCATAACATTTCTTTGCTGGTTCATTTGGTCTCACACTGAATTATTTTGCACATAGCTTTCAGGGGTATCTCTCTATTTCAATTTGAAGCTCAAAATTTAACAACCCTGAACATCTTTCTAGGTTTGTCATACTATGGTCGCTGGTTGCAACAAATGGGTACACATATGGGAAACTATGTCAAAGCACCAACACTCACACCACCAAACTGTCAATATAAAAAAACTACCAACCTGAAAGAATGACAGAGATCTCAAAGCTCCACCACTCCAGACATGTCATGAAGAGTCCAGGAAGAGTCAGACTAAAGAACACCTTCCACTCTGACAGACACTGTACAGACCAACCTGAAACATCCAGTCAGTCAGTCAGTCAGGTACAAACTGTAAGGATATTAGTTACCTTTAGCCATTTTCAGTGATTATCCCATTGCTAAGTGCCTAATTGGTTTGTTTATATAAATTGTCTCAATTACTCATTGTTTGCAAAGCCGCCCACAGCAACACATCCACAGCAAACACGAGGGGTCCTTCAGTGCCTTGCACACTTGAAGGGCCAGGTGGAAATCTTACAGTAGCACCAGTCTAGTGTCCTTCTCAATCTTGCTGACTTACAGACCAGGTGTTCTGCTCTATCTTGCTGACTTACAGACAAGGTGTTCTGCTCTATCTTGCTGGGTTACAGACCAGGTGTTCTGCTCCATCTTGCTGACTTAAAGACCAGGTGTTCTGCTCTATATTGCTGACTTACAGACCAGGTGTTCTGCTCAGTCTTGCTGACTTACAGACCAGGTGTTCTGCTCAGTCTTGCTGACTTACAGACCAGGTGTTCTGCTCTATATTGCTGACTTACAGACCAGGTGAATTCTTACAGTAGCACCAGTCTAGTGTTCTGCTCAATCTTGCTGACTTACAGACCAGGTGTTCTGTTCCATCTTGCTGACTTACAGACCAGGTGTTCTGCCTTGCTGATTTACAGACCAGGTGTTCTGCTCTTGCTGACTTATCTTCTTGCTGATTTGCAGACCAGGTGTTCTGCTCTATCTCTTTTGCAGACTTTTTGATCTTGCTGACACAGACCAGGTGTTCTGCTCTGCTCACAGACCAGGTCTTGCTGCTGACTTACAGACCAGGTGTTCTGCTCCATCTTCCTGACTCACAGACAATGTGGAAATCTTACAGTAGCACCAGTCTAGTGTTCTGCTCTAATCTTGCTGACTTACAGACCAGGTGTTCTGCTCTATCTTGCTGACTTACAGACCAGGTGTTCTGCTCCATCTTCCTGACTCACAGACAATGACTTACAGTAGCACCAGGTGTTCTGCTCTGCTCTATCTGCTGCTGACTTACAGACCAGGTGTTCTGCTCCATCTTGCTGACTTACAGACCAGGTTACATCTTGACAAAGACATGCTCCATCTTGCAAAGCATGCTAACACAAACATATATACATCATGATGAAAAATCTAATTCTTAAACAAATGAGTCTTAAGGCTTGCTTTAAATGCATCAAGTGTTGGGACGGTCCTGACGTTTAATGGCAGACAATTCCATTTGCGTGCAGCAGCAATTTGGAATGATGGTAATCCCAAAGTTTTCATACTGTATGGCACCAATTGAAGCTGTACTTGATCAGCAGATCTCAGATCTGCTCAGGTTCATACACAGCAATGAGATTGTTGATATAGCTGGGAGCTTGATGATGGATAGTTTTGTATATGAGAGTCAGTTTGAAATCCACTCTTTTTGTTATTTGAAGCCAGTGTAGTGATCTCAATACTGGTGATATGTGAGATTTCAAGCTGTTTTTTGTGACGATTCTTGCGGCAATGTTTTGAATTTTTTTGCAGTTTGTATATAGTTTCTTTGGAGCATCCGACGAGGAGACTATTGCAATAGTCCAATCCAGAAAATATGAGAGATCTCACAAGAGCTGATGTGGCGTCAACAAACAAAAGGTGGCGAATGGAGCCAATATTCCTTAAATGGAAATAACAGATACGACAAAGATAGTTGATGTGATCTGTCATAGTGAGGTTGGAATCAAGTAATACACCCAGGTTTCTCACAACCGGTGAGAATTTGATGTCAGCTGTCCCCACAGATAGATGATCGACGCAAAGCTTTTTGAGTCTAGACGATGGCCCAATGACTATAGCTTCTGTCTTCTCATCATTCAGCTGTAGTTTGTTAGTTGCTATCCAGGTCTTGACATTTTGAATGCATGATTCCATGTCCTGTACAGCTGATTGTTGTAACTGTCCAGAGGAAGACCTTTCCACAGCTGGGAATCATCAGCGTAAAAGTGGAGTGAAACACTGTGTTCTTGTATGATGTTTCCAAGTGTCCTCATAGATCTTGCTGAACTTACCAGACCATGTGTCCTCATAGATCTTACTGAACTTACCAGACCATGTGTCCTCATAGATCTTGCTGAACTTACCAGACCAAGTGTCCTCATAGATCTTGCTGAACTTACCAGACCATGTGTCCTCATAGATCTTGCATGTGTCCTCATAGATCTTGCTGAACTTACCAGATCATGTGTCCTCATAGATCTTGCTGAACTTACCAGACCATGTGTCCTCATAGATCTTGCTCATAGATCTTGCTGAACTTACCAGACCATGTGTCCTCATAGATCTTGCTGAACTTACCAGACCAAGTGTCCTCATAGATCTTGCTGGCTTTGATGTACCCCAAATGAAGAAATACCACTGTCCAGAAACTAAGGCCAATGGACAAACTTGCTCCTCTGGAAGAAATGAAAATTTTATCAAAATCAAGTGGTTAGAAACAAGAATACAAAGTCACTGATATCTGAAATATTCCCATAATTGCATATTTATAGATAGCCTGTACACTCCAAGTTTTGCTGAAAGATATTAAGCAGTTTTCGAGTTGTGCTCCGGAAACGAAGCCCATTCCTCCCTTTTGAGACTAAGTCCAAATCGTTTTCATGGAAACCGAGAAAATGTAATTTTCTGAGTAAAATTGATATTTTATACTTATCCTGACTCATGCTTATTGCTTGTCTCTTTCCTCTTGCGAACTTAGTGGAACACTTGTATCTCCTATTGAAGCTCCCTTCAATAAAACAGATGAAAAATCACTACTCACCAGAGTTGACTCTATTTTCGTTTTGGTGGGAAACCGTGGCGCCATCGTTCTCCCACGCTTCACTCTCTCCTGACTATGAGCCCGACACTTGAATTTGCAGGGAAATCCAAAGTGTCTAGTGGGGAGGTTGGGAGGGCTTACCTCATGAGTCAGGATAAGTATAAAATATCAATTTTACTCAGAAAATTACATATTTTTCCTTGTCCTGACTCATGGTTATTGCTTGTAGAATCCGACGGATTGGCGGCGGGCAAGTTACTTTTGGATTTCATGGAGTGATTTACGTCATCTATACACCCCTATTGGAACTTCGGAATGGCACTGTATTGTAACTGTTAATTTCTGCTGCTGCTGTGACCTTGTCCTTCCAGCTGCCTTTTGATGGGGGGACCACAATAGTTAACTTTTGGTCCTTTCTTCTGTTAACATTTTATGTGGATTTTTGTGACTCCATTTCTTGATGCAAGCATCAAGTGGAGAAGCAACCCTTTTCTGTACGAGTATCCTTACAAGTACTGGGTCATATCACTTATGCTAGTCCTTAGACGTGCATTGAGACTTAAGCAGAACTCTGCTGAGTGTAGGCTTTGTAAGTCATGTGATAAAAGGGCGAGACTTCGTCTCAACGCCTTTGCGGGACTGTCAACTGTTGTGCTACAACCAGTGGCCCGAAATGGTGAATGCCGGAGACGTCCTCGGTGGCGATGTCCCTCAGGTAGTGGTTGGCAAACACCATGTCTGATTTCCAAAAGCAGCCCTCCATTATCGTCTTGAGCGAGCAATTCCCATGTAGAGCGAGTGTTGATGCCAGAGCTCTAACTTCGTGTGGGTTGGAGGCTTTTAGAGGATCTAGTCCTGCTGCTTTGTAGGCCCGTAGTATGACAGTTCTGATCCAGATTGATATCGTAGTTCGGGAGACCTCCGTCTGTGTCGCTGTTGATATCGGGACGAAAAGTCGCTTGAACTTGCGTCTCCTGATTCTGGATCGTTGTAGATATACTTTTAATGATCTCACTGGGCACAAGGATAGGTCGTGCGTATCTTGCGGTCCAAGGACGGAGGATAATGCTGGGACGTGGAATTGTCTGTCCGGTTGACCTGGCAGTTGATTCTTTGCCATGAAATCCCATCGTAGTCCCATATGCACAGTGTTTTGATTTTCATCAAAGCGTGTTCTCTCGTAGTCTAGAGCATGTATTTCCGACATCCTGGCTGTTGTTGCTAGGGCTAGCAGGAACAGCGTCTTTTGTGTCAAGAATTGGAAGGATGTCCTGTCTAATGGTTCGTAGACGTCACTGGTGAGATGTCGTAGAACAACGTTGAGGTCCCACGCCGGAGCTTTGAATCGCTGTTGTTGGTCCTCCAATTTATAAGAGCGTAGCAAGGCCAGTAACTCTGGTACTTTCGTTAGCTTGGCACCTGTCCTCATAGTGATGACTGAGCTCAATGCCGCTAGGTATGTTGAGAGTGTAGACCCTTTTAACCGTCTTGTTTGCCGTAGGTGACAAATGTAGTCCGCCACTTGAGGGTGCGTTGCTTTTCTAGCTGAAAAACTGTTCCTTGCAGCCGCATGTCTCAAAACTTCGCCACTTGTCGTCCGCATTGCCATGCGTAGACTCTGGCGTAGAGCTAGTGTCACTGCTTTCGCTGCTCTGGCGGAGTACCCTCTCTTGTTCAAGCACGCCTTGATACAGTCCACACGTGTAGTCGGAACACCTCTGGGTTGCCGTGTGCCTGCTTTGTGTGAGGATGTACTAGTAGATTCGTCCACTCTGGTAGTTGCAGTTGCGGTGGTCCTAGTTCTTGTATGAGACTGGGGAACCACACTCTCGCTGACCAGTAGGGCGCGACCAAAATCAGTTGTAGGTTCGTGGTCTGGCTGATTTTCTGCAACACCCTCGGTATTAGAGCTGGCGGTGGAAACGCGTACGTGTTTAGTCCTTCCCAGGATATGCTGAGAGCGTCCGTTGCCCACGCTCGTGGATCTGGTATTGGTGAGACGAATGTTGTCAGCTGATTGTTGAAGCTTGTGGCGAAGGTCTATTAACGGGGCTCCCATCTCCTTGATGATTTGTTTGAAGATCTCTGGATGTAGCATCCATTCCGTTGGAGACGGTTGAGTTGGACGGGAGAGGGCGTCTGCTATCACATTCATGGCTCCTGGTATGTGGCATGCTCTTATGTGGATGTTCAGATCGTCGGTTAGGTCAAACAGTTGAAAGCAGATGATCGTGTTGATCCTTGCTTGTTTATGTAAAACGCCACTGTGGAGTTGTCCGTGTGCACCATTAGATGAGCATTCTGTAGAATGTTGGCCCAGTGGAGTATGGCGTTGACGACTGCTTTCATTTCCAGCATGTTGATGTGCAGATTTTCCTCCCCGTTGTTCCATCTCCCGGCCGCCACTTCGTTGTCGAGGTGTGCTCCCCAACCTTGGAGTGACGCGTCCACGTACAGATGAGTCTTGCACTCCGGCTCTGCTAAGTAGGTGCCTTCGCAGACATTCGATCTCTGGGTCCACCATAGAAGATGTGGTCTTAGGTAGGCCGGGAGACCGAACGAAGGGGTCCAGGTCGTTGAGATGAGCATTGACGAAGACCCTTAACGGGCGTAGTTGTAACCGACCTCTGGCTGTCATGTCTTGTGCTGACGTGAGGAGACCCAACAGACTCTGCCATTGTCGTAGTGGCCACGGAGAGAGTAGAGCTTGTGATATTGTCTGTTGAATTTTGAGCCATCGGTCTTCTGGTACGACCATGCGGTTCTGCGTCGTGAGAACTCTGTTGCCTAGGAACTGTGTAGGTTCTAGGTCCGATTTGAGTAGATTCACTAGCCACCCCAGTTGTGTCAGCAGTCTGATGGTGAAGTCCAGCTGTAGTCTGAGATGCTTGGGATCTTGATGTACTTGAATCCCGTCGTCGAGGTAGAATGCACAGCGTAGACCTCGACGATGTAGATATGTGACTATGGGCTTCGTCACCCTTGTAAACAACCAGGGGGCCGATGATATTCCAAATGGCAGGACTTTCCATTGGTAGTGAAGACCGTCCAGTGTAAACCTGAGGTACTTCCTCGAGGCCGGATGTACAGGAATATGCAGGTAGGCGTCCTGTAGATCTATGCTGGCCATGTAGTCCATCGGACGGATGAGGTGGAGTAATTGAGGTAGATGTATCATGCATAACTTGGGAGGACTGCGTAAATAATCTCTGTTGAACGCCCTCATATTGAAGATAAGTCGGAACTTTTCTTTGGAGTTTTTCTTGGGCACTAGGAAAACTGGGGAGTAGAACCCTGGTGTGATGTGGGCTGGATCCACAACTTCTATGGCTTGCTTCTCTAGTAGAGATGTAACCGCCTCTCGTAACCTCTCTGTCAGATGGGTCTTGAAGCCGAACTTGTGAGGGTCGACTGTAAGCGGTGGAGCTGCTTTTAGTTGTATACGATATCCATTTCTTAGGACTCTGGATACAAACGGATCTTGCAGTAGTCCCCAGTTTTCCCAGTACCGTTGCAGACGTCCACCCACTTGTGAAGGTTGTACGGAAACGGCTGGGGGTGGAAGACTCCAGTCGTTCCAAACCCCTCTTTCATCGTCGATGATCCTTGGCGCCTCTGGGTACCCTGCCTCATCCGGGTCGTCCTCTATAGGTGCCGGTAGGGCGATGAAAAGAATCTTTTCCGCCTCTGGAGGTACTCATTTTCTTGTCCCTTGCCTTCTGCATCCCGGCGAACTTTGACTTGCCCGAGTAGCGCTGGGATGTCTGCCTGATGACGCTGACGCTGGCCAGTGTATCAATGGACTTGATCATGAGGACCTCTCTGGAGTCTTTGGTGACTTCCGTGGCAACGTTGTCAATCTCTCCAGCGAAGATGGATGGAGTTGACCATGGGGCGCTGTAGAGTGACTTGGTGAAGCGTTCACTCCAGCTGCAGGAGGCGAGGAGACCTTGTCGTCTTGCTAGTGTCAGTGCTGCGGAGATGGATGAGAGATGGTCAGTCATAAATTGCTGGTCCTTCTTCTGCATAAGGAGTGCAGAGTATATCATCCTGTCTTCTTCCGCAGCAGAGTCCCTGAACTTAGCGATGAGCGTTTCATTGACTGTCCTTGATCTGTTGAGGCCGAAGAACATTCGCCTGGTCATCGTTTCGACTTGTGCCAACTTCTTGTCTTCGATCTTATAAGACTTGGTCATGGCATCGCTGATGACTTTGAAGTTCTCGTCAATGTCCTGTGCCTTCATGAACGGATCCATGTTGTGGGATGAGAACTTTTTGGCGTTGAACTGTGGCAGATGCAGCGCCTGGGCTTTCGTGGCTTTCTTGAAGGCTGCGTCCAAGTTCTCTGGGACCGCTGCGATGGGATCAATCGGTGGGAGAGTGATCGTGTCGACGTCATCATCCTGCATGAGATAGGTGTGAGCTGCATTCACTTCCTTAGATGGTGACGCCAAGTCCAGACCGTTGGCCATCCAGTAGCGTATTTCTGAGTCTGAAAAAATGATCCCGCCGTCGTCCTCTGTGACAGGTGGATTGAGCAAGACATCTGGTTCCTCCTTCGGCGGTGATCTGGGCTGTGACCTTCGCGACTGCGGGGACCTTCGTGGAGACCTTCGTGGAGATCGCCGATGGGAGGAGCCCGGTGAACTGCGTCTATAGGGTGACCTGCGCGGAGACCTGCGCGGAGATGAGCGACTCTTGGTTCGCAAATGCCTCGGCGAATCCCTCGACGATCTGCGTGAAGTTTGCGAAACTGTATCCGAAGTCCTTCAAGAGTGCCTTCGCGAATGATGATCATCTGAGTCCGCATCTGGGGAGAGACAATTGGTCCTTCGCGAGTGCCTTCGCGAATGCTGCTCGTCCGATTCCGTATCCGGGGATGGGCAAGCCGTCCTTCGCGAGTGCCTGCACGAATGCTGATCGTCCGAGTCCGCAGTAGGGGATGGTTGAGCAGTCCTTCGCGCAGGCTGGTCCTGAGGCGCAGATCTGTTCCCAGACGTCACGTTGGTGGAGGGCCTCTCTGAAGCGTCGACTGTGTTGGAACCTTCGCGAAGGCTCGGGTCCTCTCTGCGGGCTGGGTGTTGATCATGCGATGCCCTCTCCAGTGCGAAGCGCTTGTCCATCATTTCCATGATCTGTTGGGAAAACTGTTGCATGAAGGCCCCCGGGTTGAATGTCTGCGGTGATAGATGAGCTGCCCTTTCTGCGGTGGTAGCGATATTGTCCAAGGATCACTCATCTGCCGGCAGCGTAGATACCTCGGGCTGTGGAGAGATCTGCGCTGAAGTCACCGTTGCTGAGACTGGCCTCTTCTCATGGTGTACCTCTGGGATGAAGAGCGGCTGCTCATCGTAGAGTCCCTATTCCGTCAACGGGACAATCTCGGCCAAGAAAGTCCGTGTAGTCTGCGCTGATTTCCCCTTAGAGGTGGTCGTCGCCCTGGGGGTGCGTAGCCGTCTCTGGGTAGATGACAACTTCTTACTCTTAGGCTGCGACAATGGGACGTCCGGAGTAGCAGGCCTCTTCTTGGAGGTGGCGGACACCGTCCCACGCCCGTCCCCCGAGGAAGTCTCCGGCGTAGCACCAGACGGAAGAGGGTCGTCTGACATCAGTTGACACGTGAGGGACTCAGCTGGTTTATCCATGACCTGACAAACCCATCTCGACCTATCTGCAGCACGTCTAAGGACGCAAAGAAGGTATTTATTAAATGCAAAATTATTTAAATGCTGGCAATGAATGCAGCGCAAGCTGGAAGAACATGGCTCAATGCAACTAGGGCACAGTTGATGAGGGTCAGCAGCAGAGAATCGAAATCTACAATTGAAACAGGTTTTCATGAAAGGTAAACAACTGAACAAACACGGACAATTCCGTGAATAAACAGTGCTAAATACGATTAAATATCAACCATATTGTTGAAGAATACTAACTAAACCTCTATAAAAGTAGAATAGAGGAGAATAACTAAGTAAATAAAGGATATAGTGCCGTATAGGAGACACAGGCGCTCTCACAACCTGCTCACAGGGCGAAGAAGGAGAGAGTGAAGCGTGGGAGAACGGTGGCGCCACGGTTTCCTGCCAAAACGAAAATAGAGACAACTCTGGTGAGTAGTGATTTTTCGTCTGTTTTATTGAAGGGAGCTTCAATGGGAGATACAAGTGTTCCACTAAGTTCGCAAGAGGAAAGAGACAAGCAATAAGCATGAGTCAGGATAAGGAAAAATAATAAAAAATGGCAAAAGCCTGCAAATAGCAACAGGCACCACTTTAGGTTCTGTTTGATATATCCACCATGTTTTGTTGAAAGATATTGAATGGTTTGCGAGTGGTTGAATTGTTTGCGGGAAATGAAACCAATCCCTCCTGTTTGAGACTAAGTCCGAATCGTTTCCATGGAAACCAAGAACAATAAAACTGACATAAATCTGTAAATAGCAAAAGGCACCACTTTAGGTTCTATTATATATATCTACCAATTTTTGTTGAAAAATAGTGAACGGTTTTTGAGTTATGCTCCGGAAACAAAATGATTACGGACGGACGGACGGACGGACGGACGGACGAGCCGTCGACTATATCCCTAAAACACTTTAAACTTGAAATATTGAGCCCAATTAGACAGAACTGCCAAGGCAAACAATCACATTGAACTTATCACCATTCCGTATGGCATCAAGGCCAACCCATGATGGAATGCATTACTCACAGCAACTCCAGCTTGAGCCAGAACAGGAATAGAGCCAGAAGTGCAACATTGAGAAGGTTCCCAGCAATGAGGATCAGACATGATGGGACCACAATACTCTGAAAAAGACACACACAAAATCTCTCTACCAAATATATACAGCATTGTTCAACAGCACAACACTGCAAGACACTTAGAACTGTGATAACCAAACTACAAATTAACACACATTAGTAACAAACACACCTTTAAAACAGATAGTAACCATAAAGATTGTGACAACATACAACACTGTAAAACACAGATAGTAACAAACAGATTGTGACAACCATACAACAGTAACACAGATAGTAACAAACATGGAAAGATTGTGACAACCATACATACAACACTGTAATACACACAGATAGTAACAAACATGGAAAACATTGTGACAACAACATACAAAACACTGTAACACAAAACACTACAACAATCACAAAACACTGTAACAAACAGAACACTACAACAAACACAAAACACTGTAACACACAGATAGTAACAAACATGGAAAGATTGTGACAACCATACAACAGTGTAACTCACAGATAGTAACAAACAGGGAAAGATTGTGACAACCATACAACAGTGTAACACACAGATAGTAACAAACACGGAAAGATTGTGACAACCATACAACACTATAACAAAAAATAATAATATATACACAACATTGTGGCAATGATACAACACAACAAACACACAACACTGTAACAAACAACACTACAACAAACACACGGCACTGTAACAAACAGAACACTACAACAAACACATAAACACTGTAACAAACAGAACACTACAACAAACACAAAACACTGTAACAAACAGAACACTACAACAAACACAAAACACTGAAACAAACAAAACACTACAACAATCACAAAACACTGTAACAAAGAGAACACTACAACAAACACAAAACACTGTAACAAACAGAACACTACAACAAACACAAAACACTGTAACAAACAGCACTACAACAAACACAAAAACACTGTAACAAACAAAACACTACAACAAACACAAAACACTGTAACAAACAGAACACTACAACAAACACAAAATACTGTAACAAACAAAGCACTACAACAAACACAAAACACTGTAACAAACAGAACACTACAACAAACACAAAACACTGTAACAAACAGAACACTACAACAAACACAAAACACTGTAACAAACAGAACACTACAACAAACACAAAACACTGTAACAAACAAAGCACTACAACAAACACAAAACACTGTAACAAACAGAACACTACAACAAACACAAAACACTGTAACAAACAAAACACTACAACAAACACAAAACACTGTAACAAACAAAACACTTCTACAAACAGAATGCTACAACAAACACACGGCACTGTAACAAACAGAATGCTACAACAAACACACGGCACAGTAACAAACAAAACACACGGCACTGTAACAAACAGAACACTACAAGAAACTCACAAAAGCACCTTCAAATTCGTCAACTATTTGTGACCATGTAATGTCTGTACTATTATCCCACTCACGACTTGACAATGCTGCAGTCTCTAACAGGATGATTTTATATTCAAATGGGTGTGGTACAAACCAGTTACTTCATCCAGTGACTCGAGCTGCGTCCAAATACATCACATCCTGGCCGCTGTTGATTGGTCTATGAATTTGTGTCATGGCTACGCCCTCGACAATTCATCGACCAATCACCAGCGACCAGGCCGTGGTATACATGTATTTGGACCAAGCTCTCGTATTAGAATGAAGAAACAACTACATATTAACAAAAGGTGGTGGACAAATATGATAAAATATTACCTGAGCCTGGAGATACTTGCTTAAAACGAAGTACAACACATTTGCCTGAAAATAAAGAATACCTGAGTCAGCAATATGAAATCAAGCAGTTTGGACAGGCAATCCAGTGATTGATACCATAACCAAAGTAGATGCTGTACAATGACATGCAATCAACCAAATCATACAGCCTGACCACCTAATCCACCACGTTGCTTCTTGACAATACACAAAATACAGTCATTGTGTTGGTCCTGTGAAGATCCAGGTTAGAATTGATCTTTAGTAACCCATGCTTGTCGTAAGAGGCAACAAATGGGATCAGGTGGTCAGGCTGGTTGACTTGATTAACAATGCTCATGCTGTTGATCATTGGATTGTCTGGTCCAGACTCGATGATTTACAGACCCCTGCCATATGTTTGGAATATTGCTGAGTGCAGCGTAAAACTGAAAAACAATTCTTGTAAAAGAGTATTTCTCTGAAGTTTGCTGAGAAAAACAATAGAAAAAATGGCAGACCTCCGCATTGATAAGATCTAATTTTGGGAAAACAATTAGACGGGAAATTGACATCCCCTAGGACACCAATTATGCTCCCCTCTTTGTGGATCTGTCTCACTATGCATATGAATCAAAACTTCTGCTCAGTTGGCAAATTCAAACAAGGTAAAGTGGACAAGAAGTTTAACTTAAGCTTCAGGTATATCACTGATTTAATATCGTTCAATAACCATTAAATAGCCATTTCCCTTAACCTGATTCAGCCGCCTGAAATAGAAATAAATGAGACATGTGAGACCGCCTTCATACTTTGATCTATTTGACTAGAGGGATGATTTCAACTTTCCCTTCACGTCAACCAGTATTCCAGGATAAATGAGATCAAACTCTAATCTCTAAGAAACAAACAAACTTACCGGGAGAATTGGAATATAGCACAGTGCAAACTGTCCAGCCATGCTGAAAGAAATGGGGAAAGAAATTCAAACATATCATCAGAGAAGAGACAAGAAAACTTGTAGAAAATTGCATGAAAAATAAAAAAAGTATTTTGCAATTACTGTCAAATATTTTAAAACAAATACTCTCCTAACTAACTGATGGAAAGACCAGAACATTTGTTCTTTGCCAATGCTGTGTGTTATAGCTGAAAAGTGCACATGGGCGGTGGGGTAACCTAGTGGGTAAAGTGTTCGCTCATCATGCCAAACACCAGGGTTTGATTCCTCACATGGGTACAATGTGTGAAGCCCATTTCAGGTTTCTGGTTTCTGGTATCCACCAGCTGGATATAGCTGGAATATTGCTGTGAAAACCTAAGCTCACTCACTCATGGAAAGTATACAGCAAACTATGTTTATAACGCATTAAAATTTGTGGCTGTTATTTCATAATAAGCGTTGTTGTAATTTCTAGAATTTCTGAGAAATGATTATGAATTTCTAGATAAGGCCATGTTCCCATGTATAACGATATTAGTGTTGGGAATTGGTTGAAATCTCACAATTGATGATTGCTTCATCACCAACGAACAATCATCGAAAAAAACTTGTTGTTATTGCAGATATGTATAACATGATGCAACTTGCTACTTTAAAGTGATGACTAATATATCATGAACATAAACTTCCTTGAGTCTTAGAGAAATATTCAGTCATGACTTTTTAAGTTAGTGAAGTGAGATTTCTAAGAATTAAACACGTTTCAGGCCCGAAAAGTATAAATGCCAAAAAAGTGTAAATAGCAAAAGGCACCACTTCAAGATCTGACTCATAAATCTGCCAAGTTCTGTTGAAAGATATTAAATGGTTTTCGAGTTGTGCTCCGGAAGTTCTGAGACTAAGTGAAAGATAAAAATGACAAAAATAAATAGCAAAAGGCACCACTTCTGGATCTGCCTCACATATCTGCCAAGTTTTGCTGAAAGATATTAAGCAGTTTTCGAGTTGTGCTCCGGAAACGAAACCCACCCTCCCTTTTGAGACTAAGTCCAAATCATTTCCATGGAAACTGAGAAAAATAAAAATGCCAAAAATCTGCAAATAGCAAAAGGCACCACTTAAGGATCTGTTTGATATTTCTACCAAGTTTTGTTGAAAAATATCGAACGGTTTTTGAGTTATGCTCCGGAAACAAAGCCCACCCCCCTTTAAGACTAAGTCCAAAACGTTTCCATGGAAACCGAGAAAAATATAAATGACAAAAATATGTAAATAGCAAAAGGCACCACCTTAGGTTCTGTTTGACATATCTACCAATTTTTGTTGAAAAATAGTGAACGGTGTTTGAGTTATGCTCTGGAAACAAAATGATTACGGACAGACGGACGGACGGACAGACGGACGAGGCGTCGACTATATCCCACCGCATTTCATGCCAGGGGAATAATAAAACTTTTACATCTTGATATAGACCTCAATAAACACGTTGGTTGGTTGGTTTGGTGTTTAACACCGCACTCAGCAATATTCCAGCTATATGGTGGTGGTCTGTAAATAATCGAGTCTGGACCAGACAATCAAGTGATCAGCATCATGAGTATTGATCTACGCAATTGGGATACGATGACATGTGTCAACCAAGTCAGTGAGCCAGACGACCAGATCCCGTTAGTCGCCTCTTATGACAAGCATGGGTTACTGAAGATCAGTTCTAACCCAGATCTTCACAGGCACAATTAACAAGTGAGTGAGAGGATATGGTTTTATGCCGCTTTTTGCAACATTCCAGCAATATCAGTCAGGACACCAGAAATAGGCTTCACACATTGTAAGCATGTGGGAAAAGGAACCAAGATCTTTGGAGTAATGAGCTAACACTTTGGCTTGCCCTCATATCGCTTACACCTCATTTCGCCTACATGTTTTGATTGTACAAACATGACTTGCTCATCTTTTTCTTTGATCAACCATACATGTTATTCTGTTTTTGCAATGTCGTATATAAACCTCTGCAAGTATCACACTCAGCATCAAAATGGCAAATTTTCAGAGAGCTGAGTCTGTAACTTCATGTCAACAAGTGCTCCAATCTGGATACTGATACAGACTGATGGTGGTGTTGGTGATTGACTTATGTGACTGATCATTGTGATGATATTGGTATTTTAACTTGTTGAATATATGACCTATTAAAGTATAAATCATCATTGCAAGAGTTTATTTTTATTAATGGAAGAATACCTCATTAGTGGAAGAGTCTACTTTTCTAAAGATATAACAGCATTTATGTGATGTGCAGTCAACCCTGAATTCGTTTTGATAAGGGTGTAGGCGAAATGAGGTGTAGGCGATGCGAGGTCAGGCCAACACTTTAACCACTACCCTCAACACACAAGTATGCAACATGCATAAACTTCACAGAGTGCAGACACTAGAGTAAAATATTCAACTGAGAAACCTGATGTTTGAGTTAAATATTTACATAATGGCTTTACACATTTTGGATAAAAAACTACTTACTTGGCCACCACTGGGTCCTGTCCCGTGGCCAGCAGGATGTGCTCAACATTGATGAAGACGGCCCAGCAGGGAATACACAGCAACAACAAAATAACAATTGCTGGAAGTAATAACAGGTGCTTGTCAACACTTCATAACGACACTGACACATTTCATAATAATAATAATAATAATAATAAATGGCTATTTATAAAGCGCCTGTTTCCACACACTTGTGCATGTTAAGTGTGCTGACTCATTATTACCCTGGATAACCCAAGCTGCCTGTGAAGCACTTCAAGGTTAATTCAGTCATATGACCCATCCCACTGGGTACCCAGTTTCTGCTGGATGAACAGAGGCAATTCATGAACAAACTCACTTGCCTAAGGCGAGACCACATGTGTCACATGTGCTTCGTTGTGAGGCAGGACTAAAGTCCTAGAAACTCTCAGGATGCAAGCTGCCAAACATGGTCACCCATCCAAGGACTCTCGGTGACCAACATTGCATTATTACTTCAACTGATTTGTGACCTGGTGTGAATATTCACCTTTCTTTTAAATAATTTAAAGTCTTTGAATTGCATTTAAAGGGGGAAATTTGTTGCAAATTATTTACCCTTTAATATATCAAAAATACCTATTTTAATATCAGCTGCATTTGTGCACAAATAATCCTCTACATAGATTATATTTCTTTCAGAAAACAACACGGATATTGCATAAATCGTGCCACCACAAATTCTTAGATTTGTGACTGTAATTATCAAATGGTACGTGTCAGAATGGTCGAGAGTATATTTTAATTCTGACAGTGGCTTTACTCACCTTTTTGTAACACGATGCCAAGATTTCTTCTGTTGGAACTGCCATATGTCTGAAGAAAAGGAAAACAAAATGACCTGGAATTAAAAAACATATAGGCAAAGGATATACTTTACAAAACATACAGTCTTAAAAGTCCAAATCCAAGTTCAATATAATCACCACTTCAATCTGACTGTACATACTCAACAAACCAGCAAATCTTTAGATTAGTTTTTGACACAGCTGAACTTAATTCAAACAGCTGGAAAAAGCACTTAATATCATTTATAAACAAATTATGTATCATTTACAATTCAAAATCATAACAACTGAACAGTGAAAATATCAAACGAAATACAGTTCCTTTTAATATCCCGTGATGTTGCTGGAATATTGCTAAAAGCGGCGTAAAACCATATTCACTCACTCCTTTTAATATCAAGGGAAAACAGCAAATTTAGAGTCTCAATCTGAAAAACTTCAGCCTAATATTCTACTTATAGTATACTAGGTCTGACATTATTGACAGTTTTAAGGAAATTAAGATAGAACAACTGTGTGCCACTGATATGGCAATGTCCCCTGCCGCTAAAGAATGGAATATCTATACTTTTCATTTTTTATCACATACAAGATGCCTGAAATAACTGGTGTCTGCCTAATCACCCAATGTAGGCTGTCAACATAATTGAAAACATTGGGTGTAATGTTTTATGAGATATCTCGTTTAAATATGTTTGAAAAGTGGTCAAAGTGTCTTGGTGACCTTGAAGATCCCCCAATGTAGGCTGTCACCAAATTTGAAGACATTGGGTACAACAATCCAGGGCTCCAGATAATTTTTCATGATCAGGAATACGTACTCCTTATTTTTTCAATATAGGAGTACTGGAAAACAATAAGAGTACATTTATAGGATACTGAATGGAATTTAATGGAGTATCAGCAATCTTGTGTTTCGTTTCATATATGCACCACAACATTGCTACTCTTGTGTAAACAAGTCAATAAACAATAAAACATGTAATTTTCTGAATAAAATTGATATTTTATACTTATCCTGACTCATGCTTAATTGCTTGTCTTCTTCTTCTTGAGAACATAGTGGAAACACTTGTATCTCCTATTGAAGCCCCTTCAATGTAAAATCACTAATCACTACTCACCAAGAGTTGTCCCTCCTTCCGTTTTGGCGGGAACTGGCGCCACCATTCCCCCACATGCTTCACTCCTGAATATGAGCCCGACACTTGAATTTACAGGGAAATCCAAAGTGTCTTGTGGGGAGGTTGGGAGGGCTTACCTCATGAGTCAGGATAAGTATAAAATATCAATTTTATTCAGAAAATTACATATTTTTCCTTATCCTGACTCATGCTTAATTGCTTGTAGAATCCGACGGAAAAGGTGGTGGGAAAAAGCACTTGAGGATTTAATTAGTGAATTTTACGTCAAAATAAAAAAAACCTACGGGAACTTCATAATGGCACTGTAATTATGCTAAATTCTGCTGCTGTAAGCAAAAGTGTTCTTTCAGCTGCCTTTTGATAGGGGGACCACAATAGTTAACTTTTGGTCCTATTTCTGTTAACATTTCAATGTGGATTTAGCGACTCCAAGGTGGAGAAGCGACCCAACTGTACTAGTAAACTTACAAGTACTGGGTTTATCACTTATGCTAGTCTTGAGACGTGCATTGATACTGAAGCAAAACTCTGCTGAGTGTAGGCTTGATAAGTCAAGTGATAACACAGCGAGACTACGTCTCATCTTCTGTGGGGAACTGTCAACTGCTGTGCGACAACCAGAGGGCCGAAATGGTGAATGCCTGAGACGTCCTCTGTGGCGATATCTCTCAAGTAGTGGTTTGCAAACACCATGTCCGATTTCCAGAAACAGCCCTCCATGATCGTGTTAAGCGAGCAATTCCCATGTAGAGCGAGTGTTGACGCCAGTGCTCTAATTTTGTGAGGGTTAGAGGCTCTTGGAAGATCCAGTCCTGCAGCCTTGTAGGCTCGTAGTATGACAGTTCTTATCCAGATTGATATCGTAGTGCGGGAGACTTCCGTCTGTGTCGCTGTTGATATCAGGACGAAAAGTCGTTTAAACTTGCGTCTCCTCATTCTGGATCGATGTAGATAAATTTTCAATGCACTCACTGGGCACAAGGATAAGTCAAGCGTATCATGTGGTCCAAGTATGGAGGATAGTGCTGGGACGTGGAATTGTCTGTCCGGTTGACCTGGCAGTTGATTCTTAGCAATAAAATCCCATCGCAGTCCCATGTGCACTGTGTTGTGATTTTCATCAAATTGCGTTCTCTCGTAATCTAGAGCATGAATTTCCGACATCCTGGCTGCTGTTGCTAGGGCTAGCAGGAACAGCGTTTTCTGTGTCAGAATTCAAAGGATGTCGTCTCCAGTGGTTCGTAAACGTCACTTGTGAGATGTTTGAGAACAATATTGAGGTCCCATGCAGGAGCACGAAATCTCTGTTTTTGGTCCTCCAATCTGTAAGAGCGTAACAAGGCCAGTAACTCTGGTACTTTGGTTAGCTTTACACCCGTTCTCATAGTTATCACTGAGCTCAATGCCTCTAGGTATGTTAAGAGTGTAGACCCTTTCAGACGTTTGGTTTGTCGTAGGTGACAAAGATAGTCTGCCACTTGAGGATGTGTTGCATTTCTAGCTGTAAATCCCTTTTTAGCAGCGTAGGTCTCAAAACTGCGCCACTTGTCGTCGTACAAGTTGTGTGTAGAATTGCGTAAAGCAAGCGTGACTGCTTTCGCTGCTCTGGCTGAGTAACCTCTCTTGTTTAAACACGCCTTGATACAGTCCATACGTGTAGTTGGAATGCCCTTGGGTTGCTGTGCGCTTGTTTTGTGTGAGGATGTACTAGTAGATTCGACCACTCTGGTAGTTGTAGTAGTGGTGGTCCGAGTTCTTGTATGAGAATGGGGAACCATATTCTCGCTGGCCAGTAAGGGGCGACCAAAATCAGTTGGAGGTTCCTTGTCTGGCTGATTTTCTGTAAAACCTTTGGTAGAAGCGCTGGCGGCGGAAACGTGTACGCGTTGAAGCCTTCCCAAGATATGCTGAGAGCGTCCGTTGCCCACGCTCGTGGGTCTGGGACTGGAGAGACGAATGTTGTTAGCTGATTGTTGAAGCGTGTGGCGAATAGGTCTATTAGCGGAGCTCCTATTTCCTTATGCCTATCTGTGTGAAGATCTCTGGATGAAGCATCCATTCCGTCGGCGATGGTAGAGATGGACGGGATAGTGCGTCTGCTAGGACATTCTTGGCTCCTGGAATGTGACATGCTCTTACGTGGATGTTCAGATCGTCGATTAGGTCGAACAGTTGAAAGCAGAGATCTAGTAGGTTCAATGATCTTGTTGAGCCTTGCTTGTTTATGTAAAACGCCACTGTCGAAGTTGTCTGTGTGTACCATGAGATGCGCATTCTGTAGAATGGTGCTCCAATGGAGTATGGCGTTGATTGCTGCTTTCATCTCCAGCATGTTGATGTGCAGACGTTTCTCTTCCTGATTCCATATCCCGGATGCCACATGGTTGTTGAGATGTGCTCCCAACCTTGGAGTGACGCTGGCCTCACGTATAGATGGGTCTTGAACTCCGGCTCTTCTAAATAGATGCCTTCGCAAACATTCGACCTCCGGGTCCACCATAGTAGATGAGGTCTGAGATAATTCGGTAGACCGAAGGGTTGTAGGTCGTCGAGATGAGCGTTGATGAGGACCTGTAACGGGCGTAGCTGTAGTCTGCCTCTGGCTGTCATGTCTTGTGCGGACGTGAGGAGACCCAACAGACTCTGCCACTGTCGTAGTGGCCACGGAGAGAGTAAGGCTTGAGGGATGGTCTGTTGAATCTTGAGCCATCGGTCCTCTGGCACGATGATACGGTTGTGGCGTCGTGAGAAATCTGATGCCTAGAAACTGTAGGTCCTGCGTAGGTTCTAGGTCCGACTTGAGTAGATTCACTAACCATCCTAGCTGAGTTAGTAGATTGATGGTGAAATTCAATTGTAGTCTGAGACGGACTGGGTCGTGGTCTACTTGAATCCCGTCGTCGAGGTAGAATGCACTGCGTAGCCCTCGATGATGTAGATATGTGACTATGGGTTTCGTTACTCTTGTAAACAACCAGGGGGCCAATGATATTCCAAATGGCAGGACCTTCCATTGGTAATGTAGCCCGTCCAGTGTAAATCTGAGGTACTTTCTCGAGTCGGGATGTATCGGGATATGAGATCTATGCTTGCCATGTAGTCCATCGGACGGACGAGGTGGATTAGTTGAGGTAGATGTATCATGCAGAACCTGGGAGGTCTGCGTAGATAATCCCTGTTGAACGTGCTCATATTGTAGATGAGTCGGAACTTTTCTTTGGACTTTTTCTTTGGAACCAGGAAAACTGGGGAGTAGAAACCTGGTTCGATGTTGACTTGATCCACGATTTCTATGGCCTGCTTGGTTAGTAGAGATGCGACAGCCTCTCGTAACTTCTCTATCTGATGTGCCTTGAAGTCGAACTTGTGAGGGTTGACTGTAAGCGGTGGTGTGGCCTGTAGTTGGATGCGATATCCGTGTCTTAGGATGTTGGATACATGTGGATCTTGTAGTATTCCCCAGTTTTCCCAGTGGAGTTGTAGACGTCCACCCACTTGGGAAGGTTGTACTGGAACGGCTGGGGGTGGAAGACTCCAGTCGTTTCGAACCCGTCTTTCATCGTCGATAATTCCGGGAGCCTCTAGGTGCCCTGCCTCGTCCGGATCCTCCCCTGTAGTTGCCGGATGGGCGGAGAAAAGAGTCCTTCCCGCCTCTGGAGCTAGCCACTTTCCTGTCCCGTGCCCTCTGAATTCCAGGAAACTTGGATCTTCCTGAGTAACGCTGGGTTGTCTGCCTGATGACGCTGGCCAGAGTGTCTATGGACTTAATCATTAGGACTTCTCTTGAATCTTTGGTGACTTCCTTAGCAACCCTGTCGATTTCTCCAGCAAAGATGGAAGGAGTTGACCACGGGGCTGTGTAAAGTGATGCCGTAAACTGTTCACTCCAACTGCAGGAGGCAAGGAGACCTTGACGACGAGCCAGAGTTAGTGCTGCTGCGGAGATGGACGAAAAGGTGGTCTGTCATGAACTGTTGGTCCTTCTTCTGCATAAGGAGGGCCGAATAAATCATTCTGTCTTCTTCCAAGAGTGGAATCTCAAACTTGGCGATGAGCGCTTTTGCTGACTGTGCGAGATCTGTTGAGGCCGAAGAACATTCTTCTGGTCATAGTTTCTACTTGAGCCAGCTTGCGGTCCTCAATCTTGTAAGACTTGGCCTTGGCATCGTTGATTACTTTAAAGTTCTCGTCTAAGTCCTGAGCTTTAAGGAAGGGATCCATGTTATGGGAGGAGAACTTCCTGGCCTTGAACTGTGGTAAGTGTGGCGCCTGGGCTTTAGTGGCTGTCTTGAAAGCTGCGTCCAGGTTCTGTGGAACCGCTGCGATGGGATCGATCGGGGGTAGAGTGAGCGTGTCGACATCATCATCTGTCATAAGATAGGTGTGAGCCGGATTATCGTCTTTAGATGGTGAAGCCAAGTCCAAACCATTAGCCATCAAGTAACGTATTTCAGAGTCCGAAAATATGATGTGGCCATCATCCTCAGTAATAGGAGTGCTGAGAAGAGGACGTTGATACTCCTGCGACGGTGAATGAGGTGGAGTCCTGTGTGACTGTGGTAACCTGGGTGGCGATCTACATGGAGACCTGCGCAGAGACTTGTTGGGCGAACGTCGTGGTGACCTGCGTGGAGACCTGCGTGGGGATCTGCGTGGAGATCGGCGAGGAGATCGACGTGGTGAATGGCCCGACGAACTGTGCCTGTAAGGTGACCTGCGTGGGGGCCTGCGCGGAGATGAGCGCCTGTAGCTTCGCGAAGGTCCTGGTGAATCCCTCGACGATCTACGGAACGAAGATGTCTTGGATACTGTAGCTGACGTCTGAGTCACCTGAGTCCGCACTTGGAGAGTGGCGACTGGTCCTTCGCGAAGGCTGGTTGTCCGAGCCAGAGTCCGGGAATGAGCGATTCTTCCTTCGCGAACGCTTTCGCGAACGTTGATCATCCGAGTCCAAAGCAGGTGGAGATTGTGTAGCCCTTCGTGAACGCCTTCGCGAACGCTGGTCGTCCGAGTCCTCCATAGGGGCAGGCTGAGTCGACCTTCGCGCAGTCTGGTCCGGTAGTGTAGTTCTGCTGGCAGAAGTCACGTTGATGGCAGGCCCCTCAGAGATGATGTCTGCGTTGGAGCCTTCGCGAAGGCTCAGGCCCTGGGCTGGTTGTTTCTTTTCCAGGCCGTAGCGCTCTTCCATTATCTCCATGATCTGCTGGGAGAACTGCTGCATAAAGTCGCCCGGGAAGGTCTGCGGTGGTACCAGCGCTGCCCTTTCTGCGTTGATGGCGACGGGGCCCACGGGACGATCATCTGTTGTCAGCGTTGATACATCGGGTTGAGATTGGATCTGCGCTGATGTCACCGTAGCTGAGACCGGTCGCTTTCTTGTGATGAACTCTTCTGGGATGATGATCGGCTGATCATCATACAGGCCCTGTTCTGCGACGTGAACAATCTCGGCCGAGAAGGTTCTAGTAGTCTGCGCTGACTTCCCCTTGGTGGTGGACGCTGCCCTGGGGGTGCGAAGTCTGCGCTGGGTGGTAGACGACCTCCGAGTCTTGGACTGCGATGACGGGATGTCTGGAGATGCAGGTCTCTTCTTGGAGGTGGCGGACTTCGTCCCACGCCTCTCCTCCGAGGGAAACTCCAGCGGAACACCAGACGGTAGGGGGTCGTCCGACAGCAGTTGACTGGTGAGGGACTCAGCTGCATTATCCATGACTGGATCAATCCTACGCGACCTATCTGCGGCACGCCTCAGGACGCAAAGTAAATATTTATTAAATTCACAAGTTGATAAATGCTTGCAACAATTGCAGCGTGAGCTGAAAGAACATGGTACCGTGCAACTAGGGCATATTAGGTGCAGGTCAGCAGCAGAGAAACGTAACTTACATACGGAACAGATTTTCATGAACGTAAACTACTGAACAAACACAGAATACACCGTGAATAAACAGTGGTAAATACGAATAAATATCAAAACATATTGATGAAGGATACTAGCTAAACCTCTATAAAGAACTTATAGAGGTAACTAACTAAATAATCAAAGGATATAGTGCCGTAAGGAGACACAGGCGCTCTCACAACCTGCTCACTGGGCAGAAGAAGGAGAGAGAAGCATGTGGGGGAACAGTGGCGCCAGTTCCCGCCAAAACGGAAGGAGGGACAACTCTTGGTGAGTAGTGATTAGTGATTTTACATTGAAGGGTGCTTCAATAGGAGATACAAGTGTTTCCACTATGTTAGCAAGAAGAAGAAGACAAGCAATTAAGCATGAGTCAGGATAAGGAAAAATAATACTTTTTCAGATAAATACGTCTGTAAATGATTCTAAGACTGTACACCAATGCTGTGGTCCGTGTCTGCTACGTTTTCTGAATTATTTCCCACCGTATCGTGCATATTTTGTATCCGTACATACGCCGATATGGCCCTTATCTGGAGCCCTGACAATCCATGAGATGTTGTGTTAACAAGAGTTAAAAGTGTGCAAAGTGTCATGGTGACCTTGAAGATAAAGTCAAGGTCACCCAAATTGGGTGGTGTCTGGGTAATCCCCCAATATAGGCTCCATTTGAAGACATTGGGTACAACAGTTCATGAGATATCGCATTAACTAGAGTTTGAAAAGTGGTCAAAGTGTCGTGGTGACCTTGAAAATAAGGTCAAAGTCACCCAAATCGACTGGTGTCTCTGTAATCCCCAATGTAGGCTGTCATCAAATTTGAAGACATTGGGTACAACAGTTCATGAGATATCGCGTTAACAAGAGTTTGAAAAGTGGTCAAAGTGTCGTGGTGACCTTTAAAATAAGGTCAAAGTCATCCAAATCGACTGGTGTCTCTGTGTAATCAAATTTGAAGACAATGTAGGCTGTCATGAGATATCAAAATTTGAAGACATTGGGTGACAACAGTTCATGAGATATTGTGTAATCCCCAATGTAGGCTGTAACAAGAATCGAACATTGGGTACAACAGTTCATGAGATATTGCGTTAACAAGAATCGGGACATCATGTATTGTGCGTATGCGTCTGACGCATTTCTGAATACATAGTCCCCCGTTCCACGTTGCGGCGGGGAACAAAAATATATGGATTGCATATTATGTCTGTTTAGCAATCATGCACACTGGATGAGATAAATGTCATAACATGAGGGACAACCAAATTGTGGATAGGCAAAATTGAGTGTTTTAATATAGGTAGACTATGCTGAGTTTTATCAATGATGTCAGTTGCTGTTTCCAGACATGTGGCCTGACCTGGGGGAAGAGGGTATCACACGCTGATGCCAGTCCAGATACCACAGACAGCCCCGTGACATTGGTCATCTGGAAATAAAACATACCTTAATATACATAACCACAAAAGGCAAAATCGCAAAAACTGGCTTAACAATAATCTGGATGTAAATTTAAAGTTCACAAAAGAACAAATTTTGCTTGGATTCGGTCATAAAAATAATTATCCAATCAATGTGAGTTTATCCTTTTCAAAAATATCATCTTTAAGTGTAAAATATCTAAACAGATGCCAACTTTTCAGTTTTTACAACAGGAGCTTACAAAATATTATGAACTGACAAAATATTCTCCTACGATAAGTTCAAGAATCGATCATTTTTTCAAATTCTGGTCGATCTGGCACCTTTAGCTTCTGCATGATATTTTTAACTTCTATATGATTTATTCTAAGTGATGTTTTTTTTCTAAATAAAATCTACAATATGTATTTAAGAATGACTGGAGTCCATGTACCAATGGAACTATGGAAAAATAAAAAAACTATGAAAAAAATAATAAAATAAAAACACAAAAAGAGGAAGGCAAATTACACAAAATGACAATCTGTCTAAAATCAGATCTTAGTTCTTGCTACCCGTGAAGATCTGGGTTAGAATTGGTCTTCTGCAACCAATGCTTGCCGTACGAGGTGACTGACCAGATTGGTTAGTCAGGCTTGATGACTTGATTGATGAATGCCATCATATACCAGTTGTGTATATTGATGCTCATGCTGTTGATCACTGGATTATCTGGTCAAGACTCTATTAATCACAGACAACCAACATATAGCTGGAATATTGCTGATTGTGGCGTTAAAAACAAACAATCAATCAATCAATCTTAGTTCTGGCTATTGTTAAACAAATTATCTGATACCATTTGATTATGGGCCTTCCTGAAACAACCTTTTATCCAGAACCATCAGAGCGTCACTTGCCAGAGAGTCACAATCTAATCATGCACTTGAAATGGCTAACACAGGGTTGTCTTCCACTTGCATATATGGGATGCACATTGAAATGAGCCAGGCTTTCCACAGCCCATGAGAACTGCAGCCATATTTTCTCAGGCTATCAGAAATTCAAGAATTCTTTCAGCAGTTCTTCAAATTTTGAACATTTTCTAAAACTCAGTCTGAAATGGACGCCACTGGTTTCAAACTAGTTCCGTAAGGCTCGAGAAAGTTGTTTTTTGATTGGCTAATGATAGTCATTTCATTGGTCAGTCAAGTTTGCAAAAGGTAATTTTAAGTTAACCTGTAATGGGATGTCGTCCAATCTCTTCATAGAAGTAGTGAGTTCTAAAATCTGATTTTAACAAGATTTTGGAAAAATTCGTATTTTGAGCCAACATAGGATATTTTTGCATTTGATATTTTATTTTCCTAAATTCTGAGATATTTTAGTACTCAGTTTAGTGTGACACATTCCCATCAAAATCAATCAGATGGAAACTATTACAGGGGTGGAAATAACCCATTGCCCGACGTCCCAGTCCAGTGTTTTTTTCTGTCGGGCTAGCAAATTTGTATGTCACTCTGTACCAGTGTCCAGTTGACTTTCCAATGTTAATTATGTTGTTTATCAACAAGAAAATCGGCCGGTATAGTGGAAGAATTATCAGGGCAAGTGATTTTACATGTGCCACTGTACCGGAGTACACTAGCAATTTTGAAGTTATTTCCACCCCTGTATTATTGAATGAAACTAAACAAAGAGATACAATGGATGCTCTAAGAGAGGAACTCACTGTCAGGCCAAGAGCTGCTGCATCCAGCTCAAGCTGACCAAGATGGCCGACAAACATGGAGGTCACCAGAAACAGCAACTGCTGAAAGAAGGTGGTCACAATCTGGAAAGAAGAATTAAATAGAGCATGAAAGGGTTTGAGGTTCCTCATATTAGAGTACCCATTCAATAACAAAATCACAATGGTACAATGAACTTCCCAGCCTCTTGAGGACACCATACCTTGTGCCAATGATATGTGACAAATGCATGGTGAAGGATAAACATGTGAACTTGTTTTATGCACAGAATGACTCATCACTGGCAATGCAATGGAGATTAGACTGTAAAACCTTACCATACACACACATTAGATGTGCAAACAAAACAACAAAACACTTACTATTTGCCCTGCTATCAAAATATGAGTGTTGAACATGTCCATACATACATATTAATTTGTGCATACAAAATACTTATGATTTGCTCTGGTAAGGAGGGAAGACTCTTGAATATTAGATGTGCATACAAAACATGCCATACTCTTGAATCTTGCACATTAGATGTGCATACAAAACATGTACAAGTTGCCATGGCAAGGAGTGAAGATGTTTGATGGGCATTTAGAAGTTGGAAGGTAACATAACAACGTATGGTATGGAGTGAAGACTCTTGAATCTTACCATACATACACATTAGATGTGCATACAAAACACATACAATTTGCCATGGCAAGGAGTGAAGACTCTTGAATCTTACGATACATACACATTATATGTGCACAAAAAGCACTTCCACTCACCATGTTGTGGTGATTTTGACTCTTGACTATGACGTAACATACACATTAAACACGCAAACAAAACTTACAATTGGCCAGGCTATGGAAATAAGACTCTTGAATTCATTTTTATATCCAAGTGGGAAGAGGCGCCGGTAAAGTCGTCCAAAACAATCACAGCCACATCTTGACTTGAACCAGCTGAGATATTTGGGTCCTGCAACATTTTCTGTACTTAAAATCAACTGGCTTTATACATAGCCTACAGTCTGTTTGGTTTCATTTGAGACCGATGAATTGCTCACTAACACAAAATCATATAATTGCAACAATACCAATACCAAACAATACCAAGTGAAAAGTGACAACAAAATTATGATCATTTGTTAAACAACTTTGTTATTCAGGTGTCCTAAACTATGAGACAAATCATCAGATTTGGTCTGTCGATTTCATGTGACTGCAAAATTTGGTTTTGTTGCAATTATTAGATTTTGTGAGACCAAGCAATTCATCGGTCTCAAATGAAATCAAACTGACTAGATTGTGAAACAATATGATAAAAGCATGAGCATGGAGAAAGGGTAAAGTGGAATCATTTTCAAAACATACAATTTATAAAGTATTGTGATTATACTTGTATGGATTGTACATCATAAATGTACATGCTTAACTGAGCAGGCTTATGAAATAAGTAACATTGTTCTTGAGAATTTTAGGAATGTTCATACATATTCATCAAATTCAAACAGGCCTCCAAGGGTTTGAAAGCAGGGTCATCCTAAACAGTTTTATGCATGGTTCTGTAATTCTAGTCCATAAGAGTAAAACTGTTGGTGCATGGAAAAAAGGAAAAGAATAGATATCAAAATTGAGCTTTATAACAGTAATAAGGACTGATTATGTGTGTGTGCATGCTTGTGTGTCTGCGTGCATTCATGCAGGTGTGTTTGTGTTTCATTAATGAGCATCCTTGAAGTGCTTTAAGTGAGTGGGCATGCTTTCACAATGGCGACCTGCATCCACTTATGTCATAAACACCGGCCTTAAAATCGTCGTCTTGTCTCTCACTTAAAAGTAGATTTTTCAAAGATTAGTATGTGTATCTGCTGGATATATTTGATACCTACACAAGGAAACACAAAGATTTAGGTTGTATTGAACACTAATAAACAAAAACGGTAAAGTATTTCTTCCGATAACAATCTGGAACCTGTTCTTTAAAAACCTCGATAACGAATGTCATTTTATCAATTTTCGTCTAACTAAACTGCATTAATTATGAATGAAACATGCGATAATGACCCCGATCGGAGAAGGAATAAAGCGTGGTGGATCCATGCAAGAAAGCAACGTCGCTTCCTGGTGTTGACACCATAGACAGTGGTTCGCACATGACACCATCGTCGGCGATGTCGTCCATTTCACCCACACAACCTCTCGGCTGAAACCTTTTGACAGGTACGCATTGAAGCTCTCTGCGACGTTGTGTGCGATACAACTGATGTGTGTTTGAAGCGAAGCCACGAATCTTTGTATGGAGCTCCGAAAGTACCTTTTCGAACTCCACGTTAAAGAGTTACATGAGCGCGCGTACGTAAAATACTACAGAAACATGTCAGATGTTATATCGTCATCTTGAGATCCATTCACTATCTGTGATTTTTTTTTTTTACCTGAAGTCTCGTTATTGGAAGAATGTAGATGATGGTTAAAATGAATGTCTTGATTGCATTACAAATATATACACTAAATATTTACAAAAGTGTTCAAATCGAAGAGCACCTTTAGAATACAGCACCACAACTTCTCGTGAGGACGATCTCTGCCGTCTGGTGTAGGTGATTTTAATAAATGTCATTTATACAGGTTATCTGTGTTCGTGTCCGACAGAGTGATATCAGTTAATTCACGATGGAAGAAAATTTTAGATGTTTCCAGTAAGATATATGTATATATGTGTCTGATATCTCTAAAGTATAGATTTATGAAAAACTTCTGAAGAGGGCTTTTTTCATAGGATATACATCTTGACACAATCAAAACAAATTTTCACAAAGTTATAAGTGCTTCAAGGGGTTCATGACCCCCATAAACCCTGAAGACAATTTGAGAGTGTTTTACCACTCCGATTTTAGTACACTTTTTAAGATTCTAAGCGTAAATAACTTGAAAGCATTTTTACAGAATATTGTGGTTGGATAGGGCTATATTTCGCTAGACTGGCTTAACAATACTAATTTCTTCCCTTCATCTTTAGCGCAAGGCAGGATAACAATAAGTATCATCTTTCAATGTCTCTTGTTATGAAGTTGTTGGGGGTCGAACCACCCACTTCCTCTCTCCTGGCAGACACTTTATCCACAAGGCCACGGAGGTTCCATTATGATAGACGAGGGTAAGGTGTAAAATTGTCATGTCTAAATCCTGTTTAAATCAATAAGTACTTTACAATTTGATGTATAATGGAACTTGAAATATATATATATATACTGTGGGTAGCCTAGTTGTTGAAGTACCCGACGGAGGCTTGGGTTCAGTTCTCCACAGAGGTACAGTTGTGTTAAGACCATTCCGTACAAAATGTCGATGAACGTGTTGAAATCGACAAAGCACCCAACTCCCTCAGTCACTATTGCTTCAGTCTTGTAAGCGTCTAGCTATATGACGGCTAGGACAAGGCTGGACCAGACAACCCAGTGATCAACAGCATAAGCATCGATCTACGCTTGCAAATGGGATACGATGACGTGTGTCAAGCAAGTTAGCGAGCCTAACCACCCGATACCCTTAATCGCCTATCGCGACAAGCATGGGTTGCTGAAGACCCGGATCTTCAAGTGTTTCCAGTAAACGGGCAAACCCGTGTTTATATTTATAGGTAGAGAACTGTCAATAGAAACTTATACCTGAAGCTCTGTAACCCGAGTCGTAATGTCTTTCTCGGATACGAACAATGCCTACACATGCGCCGAAAACAGTTTGTCACGTGCGGAAAGTGAGTGAGTATGTCATGTTGTACAAGCTATCAAAAGAAATTATACACCTATTTCATGGAAGTTAAAGAAACAAGACATTATTCTTTCTATAAAAGAAATTAAAATACTTATAGAACAAGATATATGGATGACAACTTCTTTAATTCTAGAGCACGATGTTTCGATACAGGTTTTTGTATCGTTTTCAAGTAAGAATGGTACAGGGAGAGAACAGGTGATATACATGTATATACAACAAGACTAATTAACAAGGCTGAGACGAAATAAACAATGTAATGATAACGAATAGAGGGATAACAGATGATTACAGATTAAAATACTGTATTAAAGGTTCTTTTTTAGATTTCAGATATTTACTGAACATATTACCTGAATTTTGGAAACATACTTCAAAGCACTGCCACTCTATCCCAGTCAAGAATTTGAATGTTAAACAATTACAGGTGAATTTAGTAAAAGTATCAAAAGGCTGCAGGATTTTTAATGATAAACTTATTTGCGATGACAAAACCTTATGGATGATCAACATATTTGCAATGATAAACATCCAAACATTTGTAACAAAAGGCAGTATTTATTTCTTGGAACTGACTTTGAGTGGGAAAATATATTCACAGTATACAGAAAGGGATTACAAGAAACAAAGCTTATAGATTTCTACAAGGTATTATTTATAGAAAAAGGGAATTGGACAAAATGAAAAAAGTTGATAAACGTTTGTGTTGTTTTTTTTTGCAATGATGTGAATGAGAGTGTGTATCATGTGTACTGGGAATGTCAGGAGACATAAACATTTTGGAAAACCTACAAAATTTGGCTTAACAATGTATATATCCTCATCCATTGATATTATCAAAAGACATGGTTTGGTTTGGTACTCTCCATCAAAATGGATTATTAAATCACATCATCATTGCTGAGAAGACATATGCAGTATCAAAGATATGCTTCCAAATCTAACTTTATATATATACATAAAAACTCTAAAAGAAATATTCTTTGTGGAAATTCTTCCCAGTACTTAGATGGCTCCAAACTGTTTTTTTACCTGACAACAAATATACGTTTAATGATTTATGCATGTATATTACTATATTGATATCATACCTGTACATCAAGTAACTGTATTACTAATTACTAATTAGGATAAAAGAAATAACGGATGATTGGTACATGCCGTTTTTCATAAAATATATTATGTACGCGAACCTATGGAGAGTACATGTCATTTGCATACTATATCTTGTATCAGGAACGTATATTTTGACGTATTTTCAAGGGGTAAAAATGACACGATTTTCTCTCCTGTAAACTCATCTATTTCGGATGATTTTACAAAAAGTGTTAAAGACAAAAGTTGGAAAACACGATAGTCGTTGAATATTTTACAATCAAACTTTAGTTGTGTTCAAGGGGCGGTAGGGTAGCCTAGTGGTTAAAGCGTTCGCTCGTCACGCCGAAGAACCGGAATCGATTTCCCATATGGGTACAATGTGAGAAGGCCATTTCTGGTGTCCCCCGCCGTGATATTCCTGGAATATTGCTAAAAGCGGCGTAAAACCAAATTCACTCACTTGCTCAAAACTACGCAATAAAATAAAAAAACATTTTATTTCTATTTGAGGTGGTCTCATCCGGTAAAGGAGCGATGGGGTAGAATAGTGGTTAAAGCGTTCGCTCGTTACGCCGAAGCCCCGAGTTGAGTCCCTACATGGGTAAATTTAGCCACGTACTAAGTCAACTCTTCTAAACTAGATTTTGCAAAATTTTCCATACTGTTTAAAGGTACTGTTTGCACATGAACTGAAGTATTGTAAGACACATTCGTAACGTTGAAAAGATTATTGTCATGGGTTAAAAAAAATGATGAAACAGAGAAAATTGGCGAATTTTTAACAACATTTTACATATTGCTCAAAGCGGCGTAAAACCATCTTCACTCACTCACTCCTCTTTTAAAGAGCTTACCTTTTTTACCTTCAGAATCACTGACATAGTCAGAGTGTGTGGGCTTCTTGGAATCTGACTTGAGAACAGACTTGAGGTTGATATCATTCCCGACAAAGTGGTTTCCATTTTTCACGTCTTTTAAGAAAAGTGACTGGATTGTGCCGTAATTTGACGTCGGTTCCTGAAGAGTCGCGGCCGGCATGTCAGAGAACTAATAAATTTGTTTTTGATAACGAACTTGTGTTCGGAATTTAGTTTCTTCAATGACGAAATAGTTCTTTCGCTCTCAGTTAAATACAACGTGCCAATTCAAGCTGTTTCCACAAAACAGCATGCTCTCTATTGGCCGTTTACCATACTGACAAAGGTACACAGGTGACATGTTTATATATGACATTTGCAGTATTTATCAACACCTTTAAGCGCGAACTCATATTGTTATGCTTGTAATATATGCAGGGTTTACCGAATATTATAAATTGGACATTCATGAAATCTATACGAATATTGCCTGATCATTTTGGAAGCATTTTAGTGAGAAAAGTAATTATTTCTGGATCTGGTTACACTGAATGGTTTTACGCCGCTTGTAGCAATATTCCAGCAATATCACGCCGGGGGACATCTGATATGGGTTTCACATTGTGTCCATGGAGAGAATCGAACCCGGGTCTTCGGCGTGTCGATCGTACGTTTAAACAACTAGGCCACCCCACCACCTCGGGGTAACCGTTAAAGTCTGTAATTTGTGAGTTTGGTTTAACGCTGGTTTTGAAAGTATTTCGATCACATGTGACGTGACCGCCTCCGTGGTGTCGTGGTTAGAGCGTCCGCCCGGAGAGCGGAAGGTCGCGGGTTCGATCCCCGACCGCGTCATACCAAAAGACGTTAAAATATGGTACTTGTTGGTCCCTGCCTGGCGCTCGGCATTAATGGGTACAACAAGGACTGGTCGGCTCGGAGTCAGTATAATGTGTCTGAGTGGGGTATTCATGCTTCACTGCGGCATGGTATCTCCGTGAGCTGGCACTATAAAACCAGCTTAAGTCTGGGCTAGTACAAGCAGCCGCACATACACATACACACGCATGCACGTCGTCATATGAGCGAAATATTTTCAAGCACGACGTTAAACCCAATTTCACCTCACCTCACATGTGACGTATCACGATGTTACATTTACGTGGAACGAAAGCTCGAAGCGAAGTAGGTCTTAGACGTTTTCCAATTTGGTACAGTGAGTGCGCTTAGTTTTACGCCGCTTTTAGCAATATTCCAGCAATATCACGGCGGGGGACACCAGAAATGGCCTTCACACATCGATCCCATGTTGAGAATCGAACTCTGGTCTACAGCGTAACGAGCGAACGCTTTATCCACGAGGCTACCCCACCGCCCCGATTGATGAAAGTGTGCTATATAGGTATTATTGCGCCTGATAACAGTGTTTGATAACAGTTATTGTTACCATGGTAACAAGAGAGACTCAATAGATCCACACAGACACGCACGTATGCACGTACGCACGCACACTTTGGTGAAGCCCCAAGGATGGGTACATAAAAACATAATCAGAGCGAACAGATATTCGGCCTTACGATCAAAGGTTTCTGTAGACCCGGGCTAGAATTGATCTTTAGTTACCCATGTCTGCCGTAAGAGGTAACTAACGGGATCGGGTGGTCAGGCTTGCTGGCTTGGTTGATACATGTCATCGTATCCCAATTGCATAGATCGATACTCATGCTGTTGATCACTGGGTTGTTTAGTCCAGACTTGATTATTTACAGACTGCCGCCATAATGCTGGAATATTGCTGAGTGCAGCGTCAAACAACCAACCAACCAAAGCGTATTGAAGGTACGGAACCCTGCGCTGCCAATTGTTGTGCCTCGGACACCCGTCAATACTGTCATTTCTATGCAGATAAGGGTTGAAAGATACATATAGATTAATATTATCTTGTCAAGATTGACAAATGAATATATAGCTCCACACTGGAAACGTAATCATGTAGTCCACTATGGATTTAGTCCCATTTCTGGCAGTGAGATTATCACACCTTTTGATTGGTCTAGCACGTTGTCCCATCTCTGGCAGTGCGATTTCCATAAATCCCATTTCTGACAGTGAGATTATCACACCTTTTGATTGGTCTAGCACGTTGTCCCCTGTCTGGCAGTGCAATTTCCGTAAGTCCCATTTCTGGCAGTATGCTGTTCACACCGCTTAACTGATAGGTAATAAATTGCTAATTGGTTGAGTAGGCTAATTAAATGGGTCAATGATGGCATTGTGGAAAATCCAGAGTGTGTGTTGTTGGCTCTAATGTCAGCATCTGTGCAGTTGCCTCGACTTCAACAAGCTGATCAGTCGCTGGTATGTTCTCATCTTCTTGTCAGGTAGTAGGCGGAATAACTCAGGGACACTTCCATAGGGCTGTTAGTTGTTCCAAATGATTACCCCTCCTCCAATCATTCTCAGTCGTTCCAGATAATGACCCCTCCCCAACCCAATTTAGACGACAATAACTATCATTACGCATGAATAAACACAACTGAAATATTTAGTAACATATGGTTTCAACAATAATAACGACAAACAGTTTTATTTATCCTTATTTCGTTCATCTTCACTGCAAACAATTTAAATAAACAGAAATTATCTATGCATGAACACTGTCCATTATCCGTCGACCGGATAATGTGGTGCCGCTTGACCGTAACCAATTGCTTGCTCTCGAAAGTACAACATGTGTGGTAGTTACAGTGATCAGCTGGTTATATTATAGAGACTGGTGTTCTGACTAGCAGTTGGCATCGCTAACAACCGAATAAACTAAGTAATTATGTGTATTTGAGTTCCGGAGTGGTCCAAACAATCTTTACAGATGTTGCAACAATTGTTTAGTGATAAGCTAAAATGGTTAATGGTTGGGGTAGCAAAGACTAAATTACCAAAATGTTTCAAATTATGTAGACAATGTACATTAAACGCTGTCGAAGATGATCTTTAGGAGTCGGTCAGTCAGTCAGTCAGTTTGGTTCTACGCTGCCTATATAGCAATATTCCAGCAATATCACACCAGGGACACCAGAAATGGGCTTCACACATTGTACCCATGTGGGGAAACGACCCGGGTCTTCAGTGTGGTGAGCGGACGCTTTAACCACTTGACTACCCCATCGCCCCCAATTATATAGGAATAAAATCAGATGACATAAGAGGGGTGTCTGAAAGGTTCTCACCTTACTACCGAAGGGTGTGGAGTACCCGTAGTTTTTTGCATATATTGAAAACAATACACTCCTTGCTTAGAAGCACCATCTGAACCAAGTACATTATTGCAGCATATGTCCAAAGGAATCGAAGCCAGACGTGTTCTCTGCTCTTGAAAATGGAAAACTTGGCTTCCGCCCTGAAAGGGACAGCCCCCATAACCGCCAAGTGGATATTGTGTCAACTTCAGAGGGCGACGTCCCTTCCTTTGCTGCCATGTACAGTGGAGTTCGAGGGGGAGAAAAGAGATACGAGGGTGATCGAAGATCAGGAAGATCTTCATGTGTCACCATTAATGCGATCATGGCTCCCGTTTGAGATCAGACATTGCTACGACACAAAAGTGAAAAAGGCGGATTACTATTCTCATTGATCTGGAACGTCCTATCATTATCTTAACGCAGTTGTATACGTTCCTACGGATCGGGAAAGGTCCAGAGAGGTCGGCCAAGCACTCCCAACAGTAAGTGCATCCCCTAACATTCGGGGAACTTAGCCGATTTTGTCCAGTCGAATTACATCTTAATCGGGAAGGGTTCTATGAAGGACGGCAGTAAAAATTCTGAACGTGTGACTGAGGCTTAAGGGAGACGTTTGATGAAATACACGAGGTGACTGAGGATAATGGATGACTCTCCACATATCACAAAGCCTTTAGGGGTCTCCCTAGACTAAGGCTTAGTCTCTGAATATATTTAATTTTGATAGTAACAAACAAGCCCATTTATATTGAAAAGGAGCCCTAGGGAGACCAGAGATTGAAATCTAGACTTGCTTTATTTAGGGCTTTAGCACAGCAGAGAGGGCTTGGCAGTAGGGAAATTAATGTGGTTCAGGGACTGTGAGACAGACTAGGGTCTCCCTTGAGAGTTGGGATTAATTTGATGAAGGAACAAGGCATGACCAATGGCACACTTGATTCCATGGCTTTCTGACCTTGAACGCTCATCTCAACACTCAGAAAGGATTTCAGCTACCGCCATACCCAGTCAAGTGCTCATTGACAATGTGAAGTCTTTACAGACTGGTCCACAGATTGTGTGCTATCTTGTTTTCAGAAAGATAGTTGCATGTCTTCGATTTTATTACCGCTTTTCGCCCAAATGAGAACAATGAATTGCAAGCTAACTCAAAATTGGGAATGGTTGATTGAATGTCAGCTGGGTACACGACAATGAATACCCTGTATACCCAACAACGGTCCACATTTTCCAGCTTGCTGGAAGACATACCAAGAGCTTCAGAGAGTGAAGTTTTAGTTTTAAGCCGCTTTTAGCAATATTCCAGCAAAATCGCGGCTTCACACATTGTACCCAGGTGGGGATTCGAAGCCAGGTCTTCGGTGTGACAAGCAAACACTTTAACCAGTAGGCTACCCCACAGCCCCCAAGAGCTTAAGAGCATTTCAAGTATTTATTAATGGCATTAAATGGAGCTCCTCTTTCTACTTCACATAAAAAAGAATACCTCCTAAACAACGCCCTGCACTATAGAGCATGTGCAGTACTCATTTGCAGCTTCGACACTAACAACAAGCTAGTTTCTTTAACATCTTCAGGTTATTGGTATTTTTACTTATTTTGAAATTCCCCATTCTCATTTGCTTACAAACGAGCTCTGGTATGGGCATATCAACAAAAAAATAATTAATATGCATATGTGTTTGATTTTAAGGTAATACTTGGGTAAAGCATGGAGTAGTTAGATGCTGCAATGGTGTAGCATTGAGAAGTGCATCAACTATTGTGGTCTTGTAATGGTATTTTCATGGTGCAAATAAGTGTCTGTTTTATAAGGAAATGCTACAAATGCCTGGGTACCACCTAAAACATGGGACCCAAAACCTGCCAAACGATAATCAGTCAGACATGGAAACTATACATCTACCTGATCCAGTTTTTCATAGTATTGCACACTAAACTGAGACATAGAGAATCTCACCCAAGTGTCTTCTGATATCAATTATATCAACACGAGTTGATAAAGTTACAAATATCCGAGGCTTGCCGAGGATATTTTTACTTTTATCAACAAGTGTTGATATATTTGATATCAGAAGACACGAGGGTGAGATTCTATTTATCATCCAAAATCACTCTTCATTAATTTTCAATAAAAAATGTACATCTCTGAGCATGGTACTGCCATAAGACTTGCAGTGCAGCGATGTCATAGCATTGTGACGTCATCAAGTACATGACGTCATAGCATTGTCAGGGCATTGTACAAAATATACTGTCAAAACGATATCTCCTAGGAGATATCGTTTGATCTCACACAAGCGATATCTCCTGTGGAACACAGTTTTGGATGATAAAGTAGTGTGTTGTGATCCAGCAGCACAATGGGCTCTTGTAAACAGATTTGATGACCCACCACCTCCCCAGAACAAAATGGGTAACCCACCCCCCACCCCTCATAATCATCATCACACACCCAAACCATAACTCATGAACGATCCCTAAAGGTCACACTCAGCAATATTCCAGCTGTATGGTGATGGTCTGTGAATAATCAAGTCTGGACCAGACAATCCAGTGACTGATGTCATAAGTATCGATCTACGCAATTGGGATACAATGACACATGTCAACTAAGTCAGTGAATCTGACCACCCCATCCCGTCGGCTCACAGGACAAGCATGGGCTGCCGAAGACCAATTCTAACACAGATCTTCACAGGTTGAAATTATGAAGCATGTTAGTACAACAGGAATTACAGACTGTAGTCTCCTGTTAACATGATCACTGGTAACTGGGATCTAATACTATCCCAGCCATAATACACAGAGAGCAAGTGGTACTTTTACTACGGTCATTCAAATCTGCCATAGCACAAAACTTTCATTTATCAGGTTGGATGTAATTTTGTGCATTTCACTTCAAATCAGCATCAATCCTGTCCGTGAATCTGCAACAATCACCTTGATACAACAAACAAATCAGGTATGAATACAACCATGGTTTAATATACACCATAATACACTTAATGTTATTTTCATTCTGTAATAACAGGAGACTCGAACAAACTCATGGCAGCAGGTGGGATTCCACACAGACCACAAATACAAAGATTGTCATGAAAGATGAAATATGTTAGCATTCATACAAGGAATAACTGCACCAACTAAAACACAAGGTTTGTCTGATCTTACTGTTAAAACAGTGTCCTATCATGTCCCAGATGACAAAAATATATTCATTAACAAACATTTGAGCATATTCATGCACCTCTCCATTAGATCATATACCCCTGAAAATGAAACCCCATGCATAGGAATAACTATATAAACACGTTCACAGAATCACACTCAAGTACAGTTACACCTGTTATGTGCTACTCAGCTTTTGATAAGGATACAACATGTCTCTGTTGCTAAGCTCAGAGGTCACTCTTTTGTGTATTGTTAATTATCTCCAATTCACTGAGCTTGGTATGATGCAGGTTTCTTTCTTGCAATAGGACTACAGCAAAAGGCTTCACAAATTGTACTCACATGGGGAATCAAACCCAGGTCCTTATGAGCATACACTTTATGAACTGGGCTACCCACCGCCCCTTCAGCTTGAAATGTTGAAAATGCAAGCAACATGAATTACTATCCATAAGATAACATCTCAAAGCAATCAATCCCCAGACTTCTGCCTGTATTGATATATCCTTATCAAAATGTAAGCAGTATATATTCTAGACTTTCTTGTTTCCTGGCTCGGCCACACTCAGGTTTACAGGTTGGACTTCCTTGTGAAGAAGGCCATGATAGCATTCATACACTCGTCAGACTGCCATCTCTCCACCAGCAGGTCACACTCCTTATCATTGACATCATGCAACTTCTGTCGCTCAACTTCACGCATCAGGTTCTTGGAGGTGGTCATACTCTGAAATATAGAATTCAATTCAATAACATAAACTTCTGACGTGTATGTACTTGTGTTGTTATGATTCACCATCATATTTGGTGAATCGAACCACATATGTGAATTCAATTCGCTTTTTAGTATGACTCGAGTTAATTATTCACGAATGTTTTTGGAGGAGTGTTTTTGCTGGAGTCAAGGTATTATTTATGAAAATGAAATGTACAAAATGGAATATATTTCCAAGTAAAGCAAGATAATATTTCGATAAATTAACACTGTCATAATGGTCAAAACATGTCACCAATCATACAGTTACTACCTTGAAGTATATTTTTCAAAATGTCAAGATAAATTTTCAGTTCTTACATGTATGTACAGATGTACATCTACTGAGTGGTGAAACACAATAAAGTAACTTTCTTATAGCTATTATTTCATATTATCCATAAATTTCGACAGTGGATGAGAAAGTGCAAGGACACTGTTTTGACGAAGTCAGGTTGTGTATTACAGTCAACAATGATTATCATTGCAAGTGGATGATGCCATTCAGACACATTGTTACCATCTAATCCTCATTCTAGTTGATTCTTGTGACAAATATAGGGTACTGGGGGCCTATTCTGCCTCGGAAGCTCCACAATGACGTCAGATCTAAAGCCTTTGCCTGGCTGAATTGAATTTTGCTAGCCAGTCGGGCTACCTATGCCTGAAAATTACTAGCCCACAAAGTAATTCACTAGTCCGAAAATTGAATGTAGACACAGGTTTCATCATTAGGCTGCTAATATGATGAACATTTTTATCAGGCCATAATCTTGCATGATTTAAAAGTGTGTTTTAACGCTACAAGTTGGAGAGAATGATATATTCACAAAATGACCCCATGAAAATTCACTCTGAAAAAGAATCACTAGCCAGTCGGGCCAGTGACTGGAGATTTACTTGCCACAGGCTAGTGGGCCAGTGGCTTTTTCGCACACTTGGTTAGTGCAAACTCCTTCTTGAGATACAGTTTAAAGTTTTGCAGCTGCCATTTTCAGCCAACTGGCCTAATAACCTCCAGGGTTAAGGAGGTATTGCCTCCCATCCACCCACCACAAGTCAGTGTAAACAAAGTAAATGTTTTCAGACACCAACCTTAATAACAAAGGGATAAGCTACAATGCATGTAATTCATGAGGTGCCAGCACACCATTAGGGAACTTATATTTTTGCAATGTTTTGTGATACTGATGTCTGATTTTTACCTTCCATGAATAGATTTGACATTCAATTTTGTGGTTTAATGATCTTAACAACACAAGTGCATGCAGGGTAATTTTTTCTGCCCTTTTTCCAGCTTTACCCTCCTTCTTTCAGATAAGTCCACTGTCGCATGCCCTTGTATTAGAAACGCCAAACAAATCAGAATACAGGTATCCAGTATAATGAAAGTGAATAACAAGACTTTAAAGCCTTAATATTGATGCATTCTGCATAAGTCCAGAGAATAATTTCATTATGTAGTTACACTACAATGTCATGTACATTTCAAACAGATTTCTATAGTGTTACCTTTGGTGGCAACTTTGAGTACTCCTGAATCAATGTATCTGTCTCCTTCTGGAAAGAATTTTCCGGGATAATGTTAGTGATGAGATTTCTCTCTTTTGCCTCCGGAGCTGTCAATTTTCTGTTGAACAACAACACCTCACTGGCCTGCAAAAGAAGAGTCATCAAAGAATAATACAGAAAGTTCTTACATTTCAGATATGCTGTGTCACTTTCTTCTTCTACCACAGTGGAAAGTTTTGTTGAGAACTTAATCCAAGAATCACAGGTACACAGTAATACAGAGATGCTAACCCAAAGGTGTTGCAAATTAGTAGTTTCAAGGATCAAAATTAGTAGTTTGACCATCAAATTAGTAGTCAACTAAATACTTAAATCATGGTGGATTCTGAGAAAGATGATAAGACACTAATCAAGAGTGAAGATTTAATTTCACATACTGCCAACAGCAAATTTGGAAATTATTGGCATTATATATCATTCTGTCGTCTCTTTTTGGCGAAAATGTATTTAATCGATGAAAATATGTTTTTGTCTATATATCCAAATTTTAATGAATTGTCTTAGAATTTCTAGGGCAATCGTACTGGCAGAGTTTGAGGCTAAAATTCTTAGCAACTATGACAAAATCATAGAGGTTGGTATCTCTGAGTAATATCAACATGCTGGCTAATGCTTCTTTGGAACTAACATTCTTCCTCTGCAACTACAAACAACGATCAGAATGAGATCAGATCCAACAAATAAATGAGTTTTCTGATAAAATTGGTTTCTACCAAGCAGTTAATACTGATGATGTTCCAGAAGATGCAGTTGTCTCGAAGCAGGAGCACTTTCATATCCAAATACTCAGACAGACAGTGACATAAAAACCCAATCCCAATATCTGGTAATATACATAAGACATCATGTTACCATACTGGCAGAATAAGGTTCAAAATATTGTGCAGGTTCTGCTTAACTCGTAAATGTTGGCATTTCTCATTATTTACCTTTGCTTTAGACTAATGCTTAGTCACTGAATATTTTTTATTTTGATAGAAGCAACTCCTCTAAAAGTGAAAAGGGGATCCAGTGAGATGGGACCCTGAGAAAATCTAGACTTGTTTCATTTAGGGCTTAGCACTGCAGAAAGGGTTTGGTGGTAGGAAAATAATTCAGTTCAGGAGCCGTGAGACTAACCTTTGCTGCTCCCATGAGCTTTGGAAACATATAAGATGAGCATCCCTCAGGTGACTGACCCAGCACAGTGAAAGGAGTATGGAATGTTGCCTGCAAAACATGTTCATAGTGAATTTCAGTAATACCAAACAGGAAGTGCAACATTAGAAAGAGTTTGAAACTCAAATTTGCATTAGACAACAACAAATTCAACTTTCTGGGTTTCATCTTCTTTTTAATGTTTGGTACAACGTTTCAGGGCTTGTTCTGGCCCCATCATCAGGTAAAACATTAAAAAAGAAGATGATGTGCATCAAATAGCATCTCTTATTTACTTTTCGGTGCTTCGGTGAAAGATCAAAGGCACTGACAGTACTTTATCAGACGATAATGTGCACTTTTTGCATTACGTCACAATGTATTGGCGCCACTGCGCCATTCTAGTCTGCCCTCTCTTAATCGAACAATTTTGCATTACGTCACAATTTAAGCATCGTCACAATGTAAGCAACATCATGATGCATGTCAGTTGTCATCGCCTCGTACAGCCTCCTACAATAAACTACTCTGTTGCATCCCGTTTCTTGGTTTGCAGTTGCTTCAATTGGCTAACATCACTGGTGGAAACATTACCGTTGTGTTTTCCGACAGATAAATGTCTCAGTTCGACTCACAGTTTTACAGCAACACAGTAACTTTCGAATGTTTACATTCCCACAATGCATGCATGGAATGTGGCTTGACTACTCAGCTTCATCTGGATGTACTGATCTAAACTTATGCTGGTAGTAGAAATGAGACGTTCATACTGCCCCATATGGTTTATGTTAATCACAGATGAAATTAAAATAATTTAGAGAAGATATTTAATCCGAACGTAAACCGTCATCTAACTGTTTAGCATATGTTTTTCTGGTAATGTTCGTCTTAACATAGGGGGGCAGACAAGTCAATAGAACAGCGCGTCAGTTGGTCCTGTGCATGGACTCTTAATTTAGGTCACCAACACCGTCGTTTGTTTTCTGCCTTAGATTAATCGTAATTATCCTTAGAAAGTATTAAATTTGGCATCTTAGAAAAGAAATACAGTTCGCTCTACCACCATGTATAGTGTAATAAAGCACACTTTCGCCCTGAACTATTATAACGTTCAAGCACTTGGATGCACACGTCCTCGTGCGTTAACTATAACAGTTCAGGGCGAAAGTGTGCTTTATTACACTATACAAGATGGTAGAGCGAACTGTATTTCTTAAATAAATTCAACATAAATCTGTCATGGTTACAGGTAGACATTTGTCAACATTAGACCATCACTTTCTAGCTGTATGATCTTCTACCCTGTGGAATATATCACTAATTTGGTTGCCCATAAATGGCTTGTCTATAATCTTTTAATACAACAACTTCTGACCCAAATGGACTTGCTTGCTTGAAAATATATTGGCACTAGCTTGACGAGTTTACTTGCACAAAAAAGTGCATCATGTCATATTTCTGTCATGAGTCATATTTCTCCTTAAAGTTCATTATTCACTTATACAGCGTAAAAATGACAAATAAAAGATGCTAACCAAACACAGGTCGATCATATTTTATGGTAATATTTTCTCAGATTTCTTTATTCCATGTCATGTTTACACACATAGATTTACTTTACAATAATTTACAAACTTTTCCTTCCAGTGATGTGTTTAATACATGGTGCAGCAAATACTGAACTAACTGACAAGTGCCTAAAATGCATCTTGCCTGTTCACTGCATTAGTGTCTACTGTTTAACTAAAGAGTGAGTGAGTGAGTTTAGTCTGGACCAGACAATCCAGTGATCAACAGCATGAGCATCGATCTGCACAATTGGGAACCGATGACATGTGTCAACCAAGTCAGCGAGCCTGACCACCCGATCCCGTTAGTCGCCTCTTACGACAAGCATAGTCGCCTTTTGTGGCAAGCGTGGGTTGCTGAAGACCAATTCTACCCCAGGCCTTTTAACTAAAGATCCATCTCAGAGCGAATGAGTGAGTTGTATTTTTATGCCACTTTAGCAATAATCAAGCAACACCAGAAATGGGCTTTTCACATTGTACCCATGTTGGGCATCAAACCCAAGTCTTCAGCGTGACGAGCAGACACTTTAACCACTAGGCTACCCCACTGCCCTGATCCATCTCAGAAAAAAACATTACCATACTGATCATGCTACTACATCATGTGCCTGCCTGAAAACTCATCAAATGCAACGTAACAAATTGTCTATCACGGTCACATGCAAATTCAATAATGTAACAATACGGCCAGATTTTGGTGGAACTGAAGCACAAGAGACAGACATTTCGTCTGATTAATCTGGAATAAGTAGAAGTTATTCATAACCCATGATTGCTACTCACCCTAGACGAGGCATAGACTGCATCATACAGCCCAAGTGTGGTGACAGAAATACCAACTGCAGGGCCATTAATCAAACCAATCAATGGCTTCGGGAAATCTATGAATGTCCCAACAAATTCACTGAAACACAAAACATCTCAGATGACCAATTCTTCAACACATGCTATCAGTTCATGTTGCTGAATGTCTGCAACATCTGTATCAATCGCTTCATTTACAAGATTTGACTACTGAGTGAAAATGTGCTAATTTTTTACAAATAACATAACTGTCTGAGTTAAAAATATCAACCTGAATTGCATAAAAGCAATTGAAGGTGAAAGAGCCAATAGCTGTGTGTAGATCAACCTGATTGATCTTCAACACCAGTGCAGTCATAACCTCACTGATCTTCAGCCTCAACAGACACAAACTAATTGATCTTCAACACCAGCACACTGTTAACTATTTCCTGAATGGTCTTGATCTTGAGTTAAAAGTAGTATCTACTAGACTCAAGGGACCCTCACAATTTTTAGCTGTTATAAACATTCCTAGGGCTATGACACCTTGCCATTCATGATTAACTATGGACACTGATCTGCTACATCAAAAGGAAAGAGATGAATAGATTAGAAACTCACTTGAGTATCTCTCTGGCATCCAGTGCCATCTTGCCAACATCACTGGGTTTGATGTTTGCAAAGTTAGCCAGGTCATTACCACTACAGAAATAGTCTCCAGCACCTGTGAAACAATCAGTCATCCATACTGCTAGGTATAACTTGATAAATACTACCGTACATCTTTTTTATCAGACTCACAATATGTAGGCAGGCAAGCAGCATATCTTATTCATCATGCATTGCCTGATGAGCATTCAAATATGAAACAAGAAGACAAAGTCATCAATACCCCCGCAATGGCAAAATACTCTTCATGTATATGTCTACGAGTTATGATCATGTCAAATGTTTTGGTGTGTATATAGAAAAGTGGAAGGAGAGTATTGAAAGGTTTTAAAAGTTCTGCTCCAGAAAGGAGCACTACCACCAGTTTCAGTCTAAGTCAAACTTGTTGGCATGGAAATGCAAATATATTTTATGCAGAAATCCAAAACTCCCAAAAGGCACCAGTACACCACCAGACCAATCTATGTGACCAATCTAAGTGCCAAGTTTGGTGAAGAGATAGAGAACGGATTTAGAGTTCTGCTCCGTAAAAGAGCACTACCACCAATTTCAGTCTAAGTCAAACTTGTTGCCATGGAAACACCAAAAATATTTAATTCAGAATACCAAAACTACCAAAAGGCACCAGTACACCACCAGATCTATGTATGTGGCAAGTTTGGTGAAGAAATATTTAACGGTTTTAAAGTTCTGCGAAAAACAGGCACGCATGCACGCAAGCACGCACGCACACACCTTCCCCCCTGCAGGGGATAGCAAAGCAAAATGGGCAGTGTCAATAAATCTTTTCTGAAATGATTATCAAAAGACACAATTTCGCATGATTCGGTCACCTTGAAGTATTCACTTGAAGCTTTTCAATTTACATGACTATCAGAGGCTCTTCCTACAATTTACAACACAATGGAAAATATAACTGAACAACTCCCTCCTCAGAAATCCAACACTGTCAAAGATGAGTGAGTGAGTTTAGTTTTACGCCACACTCAGCAATATTCCACCTATATGGCGGCGGTCTGTAAATAATCGAAGTCTGGACCAGACAATCCAGTGATCATCAGTATCAGCATCGATCTGCGCAATTGGGAACCGATGACACGTGTCAACCAAGTCAGTGAGCCTGACCACCCGATCCTGCATAGTCGCCTTTTGTGGCAAGCATGGGTTGATCTTCATGGGTCCAAGACAGTCAAAGGCCAGATTACCTTACATACAGTCAAAGGCAAGATTACCTCACATGCTGTCAATGTTATCTTTGCTTACCAGTCACAACAGCTATTGTCACACTTTTATCCTGACTGGCCTCCTTGAGAGCATCAATCCATTCTCTGTACATCTGTAAGAATATTGCATTTCAAAATGTGTGATTCAAATCTTCAAATGGTGACTATATGTTGGTCCTTAGCAAATACTGAGAAGTACATGATTCATAACATACCAGTAATATCAGAAATTTTGAAACAGTACTACTCAAGATTTGTTAAGGACCGCACCTCTTTCAAATGATGACTATATGTTGGTCCTTAGCAAATATTGAGTTGTATATGTGTAAATCAGCCAGTGTCATTACTAGCAAAATAATGGACATGTGGGAGACCTGTTTTTTATGATTTTGATAATAATTTCAATGTTTGCACTTGATATCAGTAACTGCATGAACGTTTGAGTCTACTTTCCTGAACACGACTCACAAGATAATTTTTCTGATTATTTTCAGGTTATCATATGGAGTCTAACATAGTTTTACTTGTCTCAGGTTTTGACTAGCGGATTAAGTAACAGATTGTGATATGAATACAACCTTAGTCCATGAAGCTTCACAAATAAAATAATCTAAAAAACTTCATCCTACCTCATAATTGATAGCATTTTTCTTGGTAGGTCTGTTTAACAGGATCTTGAAGACTTTGCCTTCTCGAGTCACTTTGATCTGTGTGTACTTCCCTCCATCTCCACTGGCCTCTGCTGAGGAAGACCCTTTCTCTTCAGCCACTAGAGACTCTACTACATTGATGTAGGCTTTCTGTGCATCATCCTTAAACAGCAAATGGAGTGAGTCCACTCAGCAATATTCCAGCCGTATCGCGTCGGTCTGTGAATAATTCAGCCTGGACCAGAAAATCCAGTGATCAATACCATTAGCATCTATCAACGCCAATGGGATATGATGCCATGTGTCAACCAAGTTAGTGAGCCTAACCACCCGATCCCGTTAGTCGCCTCTTACGACAAGCATGGGTTACTGAAGATCAATTCTCACTCGGATCTTCACGGGTCCACCTCATCCCGTGAGTCCCCTCTTACAACAAGCATGGGTTACTGAAGATAAATTCTAAACTGGATCTTCACAGGTCTACAGCAAATGGAATCACTACCTCAAACAGCCCAGTACAGATAGTACAAAATGAGTTTGTGAGGCAAAGTTTGTGAGATTACATAAGACAATGTTAAATTATTCTGCAGCAATCACCACTTCCTCGTAATAGAAGTTACATATTGCTTATATTAAATGAGGATTACCTGTGACATATCACCAAGCTCATTCCAGCTCTGCCATTTTGCTTTTCCAACCAAGTCCATCATTCCAGGCTTTGGTGCATTACATTTGCCGACAGTGGCCTACAAACATAAATGATATAATGGATAGTTTATATTTTCAAAAGGTATATTTTTGAGACCAATGGTTCAAAAGTAATAATGCGTTTTACATTGTAATTCAACTTCATGAAGTGACGAAAATATCTACCAGTACTTACATTTCATTTCAAATATCCATGACCACCAAAGTAGATTTATTACTCTATTTCAAAGCAAAAATTAGACTGAAATATTTCAAACTCACTCGATCAATGTGGAATTAATATATATCGGTACACATTGTTTCATCTACAAGATAAATGTCTTAACAATCAGCTTATCATTTGTCAACAGTCATAAGTATATTTTTCTGAAACAACTAATGTGTCAGATTTGTGATAAATGTCCACATGTAACAATACCTGCTTGAAGAGACCATACATCTTCAGCTTAACCTGATTGCCTGGGTCCTCACTGAGAGTCTTGAGGTTTTCTTAGCCTGATTGAACTCTGCATCATGAGCTGGCATTGTCCTCACTGCAGCAAGGTGAAACTGTCTCTCACTGTGAGATCTCAGAAGTCTGAAAATCATTTATTTATTCAATAAGAAGAAAAATGCATAATCCTATCAGCACCAAAATTGTATAATGTGTACATTGTTTTATCCTCATAGAGTTTTACATAATAATATGTAGAGTGTTAAATTGTATGAACAAGGCATGTTAGCTGTAGTCAAAATCAAATGACAGGGTCTGCCTTAGATGTTTTGGTACCTTAAATTATATATGTCAACTGACCATGTAAGTAGAGCTAGAACAGGAAACTTTCGTACTCGATTAGTGGTGGTTGTGATTAGGAAAACATGTCTCCAAAGGATTACAAAGGTGAGAAGTCAGTAATGATTCACTGTTTAACGACAAAAAAAGAATAACTCTTACAAGTGTTTGCATTTTATTCTGACTTCCTTCTGATGTCTTGTTTGAGTAACAATATACCTCCTTCAACCTTAGTGAACCTAAAAAGTGTTTGCAAGGTCTTCAGCAAACCTGTTCTTAAATGCACACATGGTATCCAAGTTTGGTCAGGTAACAGGGGCCGACAACTGGGTAACCTGTTAGTTAATTTGAACATGTCTCAGAGCTCCAACTAAACACCCTTTTTTCTGTGACAGCCCAAATATTTTCCACTTGTAGTTGTACAACCTATATTTTTCTCGTATTAGTTTTCTGCATAGTCTGAACTTTGAGACAGCCCTTACATTGCATTTCTGCATCAGACAGCACTCTGTCTCTTAGCATCTCAAACTTGCATTAGACCCTTATAAAAGTGTATTTATGCAATGAATTTAGAACTGATGTCACTTATGTTGATGTTAATGTAGGAACCGGCGTGGATACTGTGTAAGCCAACAATAATGACTCAGAAAGCTTGTTATCATTGCCAGCAAACAGCAAAACAGAGGGCTGACATTGTGCATCATTTGGGAAGAATGGGTGGAAACCCAGTATCACAGATTTTGGAACATTAAAAACATGTGAATATAATAGCTGCCGACAAAGGTTTCCTGGACTAAACTTCTAAATAATCATTGAACAAGAACAAGAAAAGCCCATGAATTCCCACATTCCCATCACTAATGACAGTCAGTGGAACCCTGCTTTCGAAAACTATCTTACCTTACAAGTATGCGGGCTTGTCAATGGAAAGTGATTTGACAAATAGATCTATTTCATAATAATGTCTAAGAACAGAGTCCAAAGTTCATATTCATTCTGAACAGTTAAGACCCAGGCCGTGCTTCTCAATTACTGTTCTGCTGGTTTTCAAAATAAAACATACAGAACAAAACAATGGCTAGCATAATACTCACATGCTTGTTATCTATAAGTTTCACAATTTAAAGTTGACAAACAAATAATACCTGAAACTTGCAGACGACAAAAGTCCAAAGGTTTTCCTGACAGACGCTGCCATTGCAAGCTCGGTACCCGTAACTCAGAGTTCTCTCCCCTGCCCTTCTGATCGCTGAACTCCAACACAGCGCGTGACAGTCACATACGGGCCAAGTTTCGTGGCCACTCAGAGCCCGTGGTCATTCTGTAGCAGTTAATCCTGTTTCATACCAAGTGGTCAGGTGTAATGGCTGGAACAATCCTTCAGCAAGGATAATTTGACAAAAATGCGCGCCTTACGTAAAGAGAAATTAAAAATGACAGATTACAACGATAAGTTGTATTTATTTTAATTGAAAATCGATAATTTTCGACACTGACATGAGATTCTGTATACATGTCATTAATTTATGTTTTAATATTAAAAGCTCTGATAAGCGCAGGACACGCTCCTGACAATTTCAAAGCGATTTCTTGACTCAAGGCAACTTCAATACAAAGGTACACCATCCAAGTATCATTTGACCCATAATCCGGGTGAGATTGATCTTCAGTAACCCATGCTTGTGAGGGTAACGGGATCGTGTGGTCAGGCTCGCTGAATTATGTCAGCAGTTCCCAACTGCGTATATCGATGCTCATGCTGTTGATCACTGGATTGTCTGGTCAAGACTCGATTATTTACAGACCGTCGTCACATTGCTGGAATTGCTGAGTGCGGCCTTAAACAACAACAACAAAAACCAAACCAAAACAAAACAGACAGACAATCAAACAACGTATCATTTGACGCTGAATGGACATATTGTTTATTTCGAGAGTCTTTCCATTCGCCATAAAAGGTTTCTGGTCTAAATACATACCATGAATGTGACATTACACAGACTATACACGCACTCACCATACATGAGGTATAGTCGCTCGTATTAATACTAATGATAATAATGATGATGAGTATTTATAAAGCGCAGTTTCCATACACAAGGTACACGCGCTGTTTCCATACACAAGGTACACGCGCTGTTTCCATACACAATGTACAAGCGCTGTTTCCATACACAAGGTACAAGCGCTGTTTCCATACACAAGGTACAAGCGCTGTTTCCATACACAAGGTACACGCGCTGTTTCCATACACAAGGTACAAGCGCTGTTTCCATACACAAGGTACAAGCTGTTTGTTTACATACACAAGGTACAAGCGCTGTTTCCATACACAAGGTACAAGCGCTGTTTCCATACACAAGGTACAAGCGCTGTTTCCATACACAAGGTACAAGCGCTGTTTCCATACACAAGGTACAAGCGCTGTTTCCATACACAAGGTACAAGCGCTGTTTCCATACACAAGGTACAAGCGCTGTTTCCATACACAAGGTACACGCGCTGTTTCCATACACAAGGTACAAGCGCTGCTGTTTCCACACAAGGTACAAGCGCTGTACAAGCGCTGTGTCCATACACAATGTACAAGCGCTGTTTCCATACACACGTAAAGGTACACGCGCTGTTTCCATACACAAGGTACAAGCGCTGTTTCCATACACAAGGTACAAGCGCTGTGTCCATACACAAGGTACAAGCGCTGTTTCCATACACAAGGTACAAGCGCTGTTTCCATACACAAGGTACAAGCGCTGTTTCCATACACAAGGTACAAGCGCTGTTTCCACACAAGGTACACGCGCTGTGTCCATACACAAGGTACAAGCGCTGTTTCCATACACAAGGTACAAGCGCTGTTTCCATACACAAGGTACAAGCGCTGTTTCCATACACAAGGTACAAGCGCTGTTTCCATACACAAGGTACAAGCGCTGCTGTTTCCACACACAAGGTACAAGCGCTGTTTCCATACACAAGGTACAAGCGCTGTTTCCATACACAAGGTACAAGCGCTGTGTCCATACACAAGGTACAAGCGCTGTTTCCATACACAAGGTACAAGCGCTGTTTCCATACACAAGGTACAAGCGCTGTGTCCATACACAAGGTACAAGCGCTGTTTCCATACACAAAGGTACAAGCGCTGTTTCCATACACAAGGTACAAGCGCTGTTTCCATTACACACTAGGTTACAAGCGCTGTTTCCATACACAAGGTACAAGCGCTGTTTCCATACACAAGGTACAAGCGCTGTTTCCATACACAAGGTACAAGCGCTGTTTCCATACACAAGGTACAAGCGCTGTTTCCATACACAAGGTACAAGCGCTGTTTCCATACACAAGGTACAAGCGCTGTTTCCATACACAAAGGTTACAAGCGCTGTTTCCATACACAAGGTACAAGCGCTGTTTCCATACACAAAGGTACAAGCGCTGTGTCCATACACAAGGTACAAAGCGCTGTTTCCATACACAAGGTACAAGCGCTGTGTCCATACACAATTACAAGCGCTGTTTCCATACACAAGGTACAAGCGCTGTTTCCATACACAAGGTACAAGCGCTGTGTCCATACACAAGGTACAAGCGCTGTGTCCATACACAAAGGTACAAGCGCTGTTTCCATACACAAAAGGTACAAGCGCTGTGTCCATACACAAGGTACAAGCGCTGTTTCCATACACAAGGTACAAGCGCTGTTTCCATACACAAGGTACAAGCGCTGTGTCCATACACAAGGTACAAGCGCTGTTTCCATACACAAGGTACAAGCGCTGTTTCCATACACAAGGTACAAGCGCTGCTGTTTCCATACACAAGGTACAAGCGCTGTTTCCATACACAAGGTACAAGCGCTGTGTTCCATACACAAGGTACAAGCGCTGTTTCCATACACAAGGTTACAAGCGCTGTTTCCATACACAAGGTACAAGCGCTGTTTCCATACACAAGGTACAAGCGCTGTTTCCATACACAAGGTACAAGCGCTGTTTCCATACACAAAGGTACAAGCGCTGTGTCCATACACAAGGTACAAGCGCTGTTTCCATACACAAGGTACAAGCGCTGTTTCCATACACAAGGTACAAGCGCTGTTTCCATACACAAGGTACAAGCGCTGTTTCCATACAATTAAGGTACAAGCGCTGTTTCCATACACAAGGTACAAGCGCTGTTTCCATACACAAGGTACAAGCGCTGTTTCCATACACAAGGTACAAGCGCTGTTTCCATACACAAGGTACAAGCGCTGTTTCCATACACAAGGTACAAGCGCTGTTTCCATACACAAGGTATCCGTGTAATATATGACAAAGAACACTGAAAGAGCATAAAACTGATCCGCAATCATGGAAGAGGAATATGCACCGTTTTTTTTTAATATTTTAATTTTTGATTACATCGGGAACTGTTAGAAAAGTTCATCACTTCTCAGTGTCTCTCTGAAGACGCGTGTTTGCAACGTGTACAACTCAGTCTTGCCAAATCCTGCTGTAGTACCAATGAAAAGCGTGAACTGAAAGAAGCTGAAACGCTTCAGTTGAAGTGTTGATGAAAATACAATTAGATCGATGTATGTTTTTGTTGTTATTCTCAGTATACGATTGAGGAGTGAATTAGTCTGGGCTGGAAAACCCAGCAGTTAATGCTATAAGCATGTAACAGCCTCCGCTGTCGGGATACTAGTGAGTGAGTGACTGAGTATGTTTTTACGCCGCTTTTAGCAATATTCCAGCAACATCACTGCGGGGGGCACCGGAAATGGGCTTTTCACATTGTACCCATGTGGGGAATCGAACCCGGGTCTTCG